TTATGTAATCACTCCTGTAAAAAAATAACTGTTAGTTATAATAAACAATATGCAGCCAATTAAAGTACAAAAAGTATTTGATATGACGCAGAAATGCAGAAAAGAATACGATGAAAAACGTTTAACAAATCAAAAACTGTAACATTCATTAACAGGTTTCAGTTGTGTGACTAAGGAAGAGTAAGTTCTAAATAAATAAAAACATTTTTTGATACAGTTCAAGCATATCTTCTATGCAATAGTTGGATATCTTTAAACAGTATTTAAATTTTAAGCAGTGGAATCCAGGATTCATAACTCATCCTATTTGGGATTCGTCAACTGGATGTACTTGCATCCAGAGTTGATATTTACTCCATATGCCACTGTTATTTACTATCCAACTTTGCATATAATGATTGCGACTTAAGATAATATCGAGGCAATCTGCGCTGGATCCACATATGTCAATAAGAGACTGATTAATTGCGGCCCTAAACACCAATGAGAAGATACAAATCAACAATACAAACTGAATTAAGTATTTCCATTTGACCTTATGTTTTCTTAAGAACGATATGATTTACAGTCAGTTATTCTTCAGTGATTGATTTTGTTATATTAATGCTAATGATCTGTATCTTATCCATAAATGACACAGTAAGTAAACTGATTCCTTTTGTATTCATTCTATCAACTATTATTTAGTTGAATATACACACGAACAGAAACCATCAAAGACTGTTTCCAAGTTATTTATTCATATAGCCTAATCCAGGCAAGTTTTGTGCCTTATATGCCTGAACATATTTTAGTTAAGAAAAGCGCTTAATAGTCTTGATGAATTCCAATAAATTAAAAAAAGATTTATGAAGGTAATAAATGTTTGTTCAGCACATTAAAAGTCGTAATCTCTGTAATAACATGGGAAAATGAAGCATTCACAAGCTTGTCAGTTGTATTAAACAATTGAGATCGAATTAGAAATATTGATAAATTCCTTATCTCAATGGACCTTTGAAATTTGATATTGTTCACTTTAAAAAATACATTTATGAGCACATAAAAATGGGTGTTTCTTTTTTCATGATAACTCAGTTCATATACTACTGAACAGAAAGAGATAATTTCAAAAAAGTTATCGATCCTTAGAAATAGTTGAGCAATCACTTTTTATATATATGATAACATCTTATCTGTTATTTGATCAATTAACCAATATTTTGCTTCTAGAATGTATCTTTTCCAAAGTTCTTTGGATTTTTCTCTTTGACAATGCACGTATTAGGTTTACTGTTGTTACTCAGTCACGAAAATCTGACAAATAGTGTCATTATTGTTTATATTCGTGCTGAAATATCAGCCATCGAATTTAAAACTCATTTTGTAAGCTACTATATTCGATATCATAGGATGTTTCGCTTATCAGACTCATTGTAATAATGAGAAAACACTTATTATTCTGAAAGTGAAGAATTTTCTTCATAATTCTATAGACAACTGATGACAGATTTGTTTTTAAGGTAAACATACTTGCGTTATATCCATGGTTGTATTTATCACAAATTGACATCGTCTGGTGAACCACTGAATAACAAGGCACAATAGATGTTTGTTAATTATTTGTATTTGATTTATTGAAAGATCTTAACTGTAACCACTTGTTCGATAAAATCCTAAATTTTTACTTCTTGAAATGCTTAATGAAGAGCTAGTCATCCATTTTTTCAGTAACTATTAAGTCGATATTCTTCAAGTTCTTTTCGCAATTCTACTTGAAAGTTTTCCTCCTTAGAGAAGGGACATAACTTAGAAGCTCCACGACTAAATTCAAGAGTTTTCAAAAGCCAGTAGGTTGATGTCCTCCTGATAACCAGAGCAACCGTTTATATTACGTATGTTGAAGGTTTGGACAATTTAGGTGCCCTGAAGGGTCATGAAAACAGCAGGAAGAATTCGGGATATGCATGTGTGGAGTTAGCGAAACCTATTGAATAACAACTGTACTAAAACGACTGACTTCAAGATGTCTGTTATTGATTCTGATTACTGTGAAATAAATGACCCCACCCCCTCAACACACAAGGAGTAGCTCTGACGCTATCCAAAAAGCATGAAAATCGCCTATGGGATGCGGAATCTGTGACGCTAGGGACCTAAAACCACTCTTCAAAGAAAATAAGAAGAGAACACGTGAATTTCATCCGGTTCAATACACCTACCGGTGATACAAAAAAAGATGATAAAGATTAGTTATAGGGAAGATTGTAGCATTATGAAGGCTTAAGAAGCGACAGAATAAAGAGTAGATTCCTGTAGACAGTCTGTAGAAATAAAGAATAACAAGATAGCAATTAATAACTCACAAATAAGAACAGAATAAACGAAGCCACAAATGGAAATATATAAAAGACCTGACAGAGACAGTAAACTAAGTTATAAGAAAAGGAAACATTTACGAATTAAGTGATGCAGCCAAAAGGGTAGGAAAGGGACGCGAAATCCACCAGAGATAAAAGCAGCACACGCAGACCTGCCGTATATGTCACTTCACCGACGATCGAGGAGATCGGGTTGGCCACCAGGCAAATCAAGAGTGGGAAAGCAACATGACCTGACAGTACACCAGCCGAGGTACTAAAGTCAGACACTGAAGTAATTGCAAACATGATTTACACTATTCAGGATGATTTGGAAGAAAGAACAAGTGCTGATGGACTGGAAAGAAGGATATCTCATCAAGATACCAAAGAAAGGTGATCTGATCAAATGTGACAAGTACAGAGGCATCACATTACCATCGATACCAAGAAATTTCCTCAACAGAGTGTTGTTGAACTGGATGAAAGATTCAATAGACATCCAACGTTGAAACCAACCATCTGGTTTCCGTAAGCGTAAACCACAAAATGAATAAATCGTGATACTTTAGACCATTGTACATCAATCATTTGAATAGAAATCTTCGTCCTTCATTATGAGAAAGCATTTGACAACAGGGATAAGGTAATCTTCTTCGGCACTATGGTGTACCTGAGAAGATCTTCAAAATCATATGCAATGCTTATGACGAACAACACTGGAAATTCGTGGATAAAAATCAAACAAGGCTTCTTTCTTTTTCCCCGGTGATCAACTGAATTATGAAAACGTCCACGCTGAATACAATGGACAGCTTGCAATGAAATAAAAGATTCAGACTTCGCAGATGACCTGGACCTTTGATCCTGAAGACATCAGCAAATGTAGATGAAGACGACTAATGTAGCATTCTCTACATCAGTAGGCCTCAACATACACATGGGAAAAACCAAGATTCTGAAGTACAAAACGAAGAACATAAACCCAATTAAACTTGATGGAGAAGCTCTGGACGAGGTGAAAAGATCTGCGTAACTAGCCCGCACCATCTATACACAAGGAGGACCTGATGCAAATGTGAAAGTAAGGATTGACAAAGCAAGGACAGGATTCCAACATTTGAAGAACATATAGAAATTAAAACAACGATCAGCTGACATCAAGGTCCAATCTTCAATACGATCGTTAATACAGTTCTACTGTATGAAGCTTAAACATGGAGAACGACCACAACTATCATCGAAAATGTACAATTATTTATAAACAATTGTCTAAGCAAGATACCATCAACAACAACCTACTGCAGAAGAGAACAAACCAGCTTCCAACTGAAGAGGAAATTATAAAAAAGACTCTGACGTTGGGTAGGTTATCACATAAATCGCTAAACTCCATTGAGAAGCAAGCCCTGACTTGGAATTCCCAAATCAAAAGATAAGAGTCGAACCAAAAGACATATTGCGACGGTAATGAGAAACAGATATCAAAATATTGAAGCGTAATAGAAAACAACTAGAAAGTCGAGCCTGGGACAAAGTTGGTTGGGGATCCCTGGTCAGAGGCCTAAGACCCTCGTGACGAACAGATTTAACAAGTCAAGTACTTTTTATATTTATTATTTCTTAAGGAAACATTCGTACGAAACGTAAGAAAACTACTATATACAAATACATTACTTACTAGAAATCATTTATAAATATATAACTCAAGTATACGAAGATTATTTGTTAGACTGAACGGTTTATGATATAAACAGAAGGCCAATTATATTAAACAGAATTATTATTAAAATAAGAACAGTTAAGCTAATCATTAAGATAAAGTAACATTATATGTACTACTGTTTTATTTAAAGTAAAAGTTATCATCAGAAGGGGTTTTGTGGAGATTTTAGAAATTTCGCTGATTGAAATCATAAGTCAATTGAAGCTAGACCACCATGGAAAACTTCGAAGCACTGGACGGCCGTTTCGTCCTAATATGGCGCATCCACGATCCCGTCCCTCGAGAGATTCAAACCCAGGACCTATCAGCGCTTTACCACTAAACCACTGAGCTGGCATGCAACGGTTTTAATGTCTAACTTCAACCAATCCACAAATCTTGCAGAAGGAGTGGGATCGTGGATGCGCACTGTTGAGTCCCATACTATAACGAAACAGCCATTCATTGCTTCCAGGTTTTCCGTGGAGGTCCAACTTCAATTGACTCATCATTTCAATTATTTTAACAACTATCAATTGACAAGTCTCAATAAACCAAGTACAATGGACCAATTTTATTTTATTTTATCAATTCATGTATATCAGTTTTATTCTGATGTTTCAGATTATTATTATTAATTTTGTCTAAATATTATTATTTATTATAAAAATAGAAATGACTTAATTTGCTTTTCTTTTCCGTTTTTTTTCTCTTTTTCTTAATTTTTTTTTCTTTTGGTTTCTTATAAACCTATAAACTTTGAAAAAATATACACAGTGTGTCTATCTTATTATAGTTGATTTTTATACTATTTGTTACATGTGTATAAAAGTGAACAATTACAAGTTTTTTGATTGGATAAATTTAGATAGTTTTATTTATTTTTTACTTTTTCTCTATTTCATCTATATTACTTAAATGTGTTTGTAAGTGTATGTGTTGCAAATTTCTACTTCAAGTTTGATGTCAACTAGTCATAAAAGAATTTCTTAAAAGAATCTATAAATTCTTAGAAAAACTACGTAGGAATCAACAGTTGTCAACGAAATATTGAACATTTTAATGACAATAAATTTATAAATAAATCATTTCTTATGGATCAGTTTTTGATATGATACTGATGATTAGAATGAAGTTCAATTTGGACTAAATAAGAAATATTAGAATATATATCAAAGATTATTTTCATTATGAATATATTACATTACACAACATTGACTAGTTTCATATATGTTTATTCCAGTAAGTTTATTTTTTTATATGTGATTAACCAAATCTACTCAATTTTCACTAACATTGTTGCGTTAATTATAAACATTATGTTTACTATTTACTGACAGTAAAATAACAACAATGTATTACAATTGAAATGTCTACATTCTAATAACTTATATGTTTATTGTACTGAAAAAAATCTATTTAATGATGTTATTTAGTTATCAGTTTACAAATATTGGCTTTCTCTATTGATAGCCTCTATTTATAGTTATAAGATGTCAAATGAAACAGCTTTCATGGATAGTAATTAATAACCCCTAAAAAATTGATTGCGATCTTACAACACATAAATTTTTGAGTTCATTGATGAGAAAAATGTTTTTGGTTTTTGGAAATTAGTTACTGCGTAGTGCAAATATTTTCTCAGGTGAGAATACAATTTATGGATGACCCTCCAGTGACCTTGAGAATGAGGGTTATAAACTAGTATGAGGAATTATGATTAATATTTACAATTGATAGTTAGGGTTAAGAATTAGATTTAGGTTAATCATCAGGAACCGATTTCAATTCTAATGCCAAAACTCTATTCAGTCAAATGAATCGATTAATATTGCGCGAAAATTCAAGACCTGTTATCGTAAATCTGATTGTTTCGTCCATAAGTTATAGCTTCGTCTTTTCTCATCAGCTTATTCTTATGACCGTATAGTCAAATGTTCAACCAATAATAAATATTCGTTAATTGTGCATGAATGGTTAAATGTTGAGAGGCAAAAAAGATTTTGAAACTTGCGTTTTCACTTAGATATTAAGTGTCAACCTAATTGAACAAGTGTCAAAAATGAATTGTACTAAACTATTGATATTTCCTGCTCAATCTGAATTATTCATCCTATTGATGCAAATGATGATTTGAATAACAGTTATTCTTTCTAGAGTTTACCTTTCTTTCTAATACACAAAAAGCAGATAAACACGCATAAAAACCATATTTAAATAGTCTGACAAATGATTTATATTGCCATTTAAGTTTACTAAAACGGAATAGTTAAACGTTACATAATTTTACTGACTTTCTGATAGATGAAATTATAGCCATTTCTAGTCTATAATGTATAAGATTTGTTGATAAATAAAGATGTTTGAAAAATATGATCATTATGCCACTATTTATCAATTTGCCAAATAGACTTTCAAATGAAGAAATAAAATTTGTGAATAAATTTGATTTGATTGAAAAAAGATTTTACAAAATCTACTCATCAGAGGTTTGAAAAGGTGTTGAGCTAAACTGAAATACAAAATCTGAGTGGGATCCATTGTTTTTATTACAAATAGTTCTTTAGGTATTCTAATAAAGTTTTTAGTTATAAGGAATATAGAATTATGCACATTTATTTTACAAATTATGTTTCTAAGAGAAACAAAATTTGGTCTATTCATGATCAATGTCTATTAATACGAGTCTACTTCAAGGTTACTTTTTCAATGCTTCACCTGATTTGTACATAGCATGTTGAACATGTCACTTATTGACATATTAAATCTTACCGGTTACTACCAAAATAAACGTAGTATATCCTAAAGTACACTGGTTATGCATAATCTCAAATATCTTTCTCAAATAATTTTATTAGATGTTTTACAAACACCACATTGTTTTCCACTTGAAGTCTTTATAAGTCGAATCATTTCACTATAGTTCAATGTTAGGCATGTTGAAATCTCTACGTAGAAAAAATCAACTTCCACAAACAGAATTAGACAGTTGTTTTATGACAATTAATATGAACAACCTAGCAACCAACTTTCTCTTATCACGTGTGATTGGGTTATATGATGTTTACATACGAAATTGTAAAAATGAATCACAAGGTTTTTTTCTTCATCACTCTAACAATTACGAAATTCCGGCATGACGTATGAAGTTTTATTATTGAGGTGGGACTTTATCAATAATATCAAAAGTCATTTAACTGGATTTATTTTCACGCAAACTTTTTTTAATTCCATTGGGTATACTGAAACCAATAATATCAAACTGATGGAATATGAGCAATATGCTTGTATTGAAAATGCAAAATTATCTCGATAGACATACTATTTCAGAGCAAACAATGAATAAACAGTTGGCATATATACATATATAATATTAAGAATTAAATAATAAAGATTTTCTAAAAATTTATGGTATAAGTATAATATACTGGCGACCTTGAATGACTTGTCAACCAATGAGGAAACGTTGCGCAGTTAGAAACTAATGAACAATAAAAAGCAATAAACCGACGGCGGAATAATAGCTTTGATCTGAATAGTTAATCTTCACACGACAAATTATTTTATATGGTAAAGGAAGAAGGTCAAAAGTACATATTGGGAGTCAGGATACCATTCTGAATTCGGGTTTGGTATTGATAATTTTAAATGTTGATGGTTAACGCAGCAAGATACGATTTAGTAACTTGTGTACACATAATTCATACTTCACACTTAATCCTCTAATTACAGAGTCAGGGGTATGTGCTTTGATTTTTATTTGAAAAACAATAATTTATGATTGAATTTTACCTTAGAGACTAAAAAGTAAAATACCTAAAACCATTCACTACGGTATTTATTTGTTTATATTTTCACAATATTTGAAAAAAAATTAAAATGCATTACACAACGAAATACATAAAATTGCAAAACGAAACGGGACGCATTATTTGTTTTCAACTAATAATGCTTATGTTCTAGTATTTATCCATACCTGATTAACTTTACAGTCACAACTAGACATCATGTCTTTATGTATGAAGATAACTTATTAATCTTGAAAATGATTTATTATCATCTTGAATAGTTTGACAAGTACTTTTTGACGCTCTATGTTTCATTTTCCATTTTTCAAAGATTATAATTAGATTTTTACTTACATTATTTCTATAAAACAAATTTTATTAAATGTTACACTGGTGGTTTCATATTAAAATGTATTATTGTATGATCGAATGCGGATAATTTCATTATTCCTTTCTTAGATAATTACTTTCAAACTAATATTCATGGAATGACTTGAGTGAGATTTTTCAAAACTTTTAGATTATTTTAACCACATAAATGACCTTTGACTATTTTATCTAACATAGTTCTAATGTATGGTTGAAGTCATTTTTCACTTTCCGTTTGTTCGTTAATAACATAGTGGAGGTAGCATAAGTTTAAGTGGCTGAGATCTCGTTATTATAAGCTTTCGATGCTAGCCCCCAAATGCCCTGGTACGGTCAAGAGTGAGGAGGGTCCGCTCTTCCTTTTGAAATGCTTTCACATGACCACGCGTATATAGCCTCTGCTAGGGAAGTCCTACTCACTATCTTCTCGTGGCTGGGGGGGTTGTTTACGAAATTGAGAGCACGAAAAGCGAATGTCTGGCGCTTTAACCGGGTTGGTGGACATGAAGTGTCCACCTAGGGGAGTTGGAAAACCCTGATTCTAAACCAATGGTGCACACGGGGTCCAAGATCCTGCGGGAACAGATGGCGTATGAACCAATTGTTGGTCACCGGCTACCATCAGACTGCATCTCCCGACGTTGCTCCATTGCCTTGTGGATCAGACCTTTGGGCCGAAGGCTCCGGGTATGGCCCCCTAAGAAAACCACCTGCTTCGGTCTGGGCACCCGGGCAGTATCACAGCCCTCGCACATATCAAATGAGATTTGTGTGGCGCATACATATTTGGTCCCTCCCTGTACCAATATCAATGTGTTAAAATAAATAAATAAATTTCGATGCTATTGATTATATTCACGAGAACCACAAGTTAAATAATATAGCTTCAAACAACTCACAATATCTCATTGATATTTATAAATTTTTATACATTTATTATACGGCCTACCACAGTAGAGCTATACGTTTTAATGAGAAAGTATGTGATCTTGATCAATAAATTATTTCTTTAATTATTTCATTGTAATAGAATAATTTTGTTTCGTCTATAGTTAGTTCATATAATCACAGATGTTTAGTCATTCATAAGGATGGAGTGTATAACTTATTAGAAACTAAAGATTGAAATAACTGTCTTTTTATACGTGAGATACTAAGAACTAGTTAGTGAGTAGTTTGTGATGAATCTTTAGATATGAAGGTTTCATTTGCTATTTGGGTTTATTTTTTTTCATTACTGTATACTCTCATTTGTGCTTCAGTCCATTTTAACTATGCATGAACCTAATTTCCACACGCCTTCACATAAATGTACGATATAGCTGCATATTTATATATTTGTATAATATACATACATATATGATTATTACCCTTTTGTTTATATCCGGCAACGCCCATTTATAAGAAAAGAATAGAAATTTGCTTCTAGAGACAAGATTATAACAAACAAAACTAACTTTATCTATGTAATAAACAATTACAGAGCCAAGTTAGTTAAATAAAACATTTCATGAAATAAATATAACTACATATTGTGTATGTAAAATTGACCGGAAATAATTGAAATTAAATTGATATATTTTATGTTAACACTAAGAATTGATTAAAACTGTATAATGATGAGGTGAAAAATAAGTTCAAATGTGATTGAATTTAGAAATAAATTAGGTTATTGAATAAATAAATTATCTTGTTTTACAATTACGTATATACAAAAGGTTATTGATAAAGTGTTTCCGAATAATTCAACAACAACAACAACAACAAAAATACCCTTCTCACAATAGATGGCTAAAAAATGGTTGCTGTTTTACTATAGTACAGGCCAGAATAACTAAAAAGAAATAGAGAGATGAAATAAATTCTTAATGGTTATGATCATGAGTCAGTTGAAGCTAGACCACCATGGAAAACCTGGAAGCGCTGGACGACCGTTTCGTCCTATTGTGGGGCCCCTCAGCAGCGCGCATCCACGATCTCGCCCTCTGCGAGATTCGAACCCGGGACATACTGGTTTCGCGCGCGAGCACTTAACCACTAGACCACTGAGCCGGCATCCATCGGTGTTAATGTCTAACTTCAACTAATCCACGAAATTGAGCGACACATCCACCAATGTCTTCATTGAGTTACTATCTCACAACAGACCTGGTTGAACTTCACTGGTCACTACTTCTCATCAGGACTCCAGGATATACCTGGTGAAGCCAGTCACTGAGTTCGAATCTCGCAGGAGGCGAGGTCATGGATGCGCACTGCTGAGGTACCTCACAATAGGACAAAACGGTTGTCCAGTGCTTCCAGGTTTTCCATGGTGGTCTAGCTTCAACTGACTCATGATCTTAACCATTGAAATTACTACAATCTCCACAAAACCCATCTGAAATAAATTCATTTAATAATCCAATTTTCTAGTATGTAATAAGTATATATGAATTCATCTATTACTATTAACAGTAATTTTGCTATAAAATTATATAAGTATGCATAATGAATTTCGACAGTCATTCGATTCAAAACTATGAAATTAAAACTTATATGAATTATACTCAATGCTTCTACTTATCTATTTCCAATAAAAAAGAGCCTGTATCAAGTATCGAATTTCTTGACGAGACTATAATTTATGAACGAACCAATCAGATTTAAAATAACAGATCTTAGATTTTGGCGCGAGATTCATTCATCCATTTATCAAAATAGCGTTTTGGCATTTTAGCTTATATCAGTTAGTGTCGAAAACCACAAAACTAATTGCTAACCCTGACCATCAATTGTAAATTATAATCCTTATCATTCAAACTGTTTTACAGACCACATTTAGCACTATTCAGTAGGTGGACATAATCGAGGTCACATTGGCGTCGCTCAAGTGTCATCCATAAATTATAGTCTTAACAAGTTCTTCTTTTACATTTAAAATTATTGTATTTAAATGGTGTAATTACAGAGTTCTCGAATATGCTTTATAAATTAGTCACAGTAAAAGTTAACAATGCAAACTTATTAAAGTAGATCTATCACTACCAACAAAAGATATTAAGTTTACTTAAATTAAATCTGTTTGTTAATACAAGCAACACAGTGAATACTGAACTGCACTACACAACTTTGGATTAATTTAATTTATATTATAAAATATCTTACAGTATTTAAGCTGTATTGTGTGGTACAAAGCAATTAAGTATTATGTTTTGTTTAGAAATCTTCTAACAGATAAGAAACTGTTTATTCGGGTTTTTTTTACCGTTGTCACTGCCTTTGTATTCCAATCCAATGGTATATTTAGATTATTCCATGTTGACGGCTGAAATAAATTATAAACCTGTTTTTCTGATGTTCGACTTAATACAATCAAAAAGCGATCATATGTTCAAATTTTAAAAAGCTTCATTTATACCATACTTTAGTTTATTTAAACAAATTGATAAAATTACTATCATTAATATGAAATTCAACTAACCATAACTTAACTAGACAATGTCAACATGGAAAATTATCAATCAAAAGAATGATTTTAATGATTTTTGACTGAAGAATACTTTAAGCTATCGCTTACATTTAAAATGATTACGTTTACAGCATAAACCAAAAAGGAAATACTGATATTGTGAAGCTTAATGTAAGTGTTATTGAACAATTAGAGAATTGAGTCCATCAGTCATAATTTCTAGTATTTGTGTTAGCATTCCTAAATAAAAGTACATTATCGCTCATTGTGTCACTTATATATGCTAGAATTCTATCAGTTATTTCTCAAAATTAACAGAATTTCGGACCACAAATGTATGTTTGAATCACAAAAACAAATATTAATCTACTATTCTGTTAGATGTCTAAACACTTGGTATTAGATCACTTGATTGTTTTACTTCGCTACAGAGACTGAAGAGAAAATCGTTTCTAACCTGGTTTATTCACCTTCGAATAGACGGAATAGCAGTGGATGACTTATATAAGTTGAAATTACTAAAATCTTAGTAACTGTGGGATTCTTGAAGTTAAAGTTTAATTTATTCACAGGTAAAGACTATTTTAGCAAAAAGATATCAAATAACTTATATTACGGTAGATTATTTTTTAAATTTTTTTCTTCAGTGCATTTCATTTTTCTTTTCCACAAAATTCAACTAAATGAAGCAAAATGCCAGTTTTCTGAATATTCAGTTCTTAAACCAAATCAACTTTGGTGGACACATGATGGTCAACGTTTACCACCTGTTTCATTTAATCTTAACGATTACTTACGTAAATTTGTTGTAAAACAGGGTTTTGATTTAACCGCTGCCGCCGAAGGATGGAATCAAATGCTTGTATCATCAAATACTGATTTATTGTGGATACAGCAACTGTGTTTACATCCATATCAACGTTTGAATGTGAAACAGAATGGATCTTCCTCATCATCATCATCTCTATTAATAGGAAGAAGATTTATTCAACTGTCACCACTATTTAATGGTTTGATTGCATTTGATGAAGATGACTGGTGTAGTCGTAATACAGTATTATGGGATTCAGATGAAGAATCTGATAAAAGGAATGACACTTTTGTTCATCTTATACATTATAGCATTAAATGTGAAAAGATTATTTATCGTAAACATTATAAATTTATAGTACAGTTAGATCTAACAAATTCAGGGTGAGTTTAATAATTCTTTTCGTATTATTCTTGTCATTAAAATTTGATCAAAAATAGGTTGATTTGGATTTATTTCATATTTTTGCACTGTTTTTCATAAGTCTTGGGAGTTTATTGGCAGTTTTGAAACTAATGCTTCTTTTTTCATCAGGTTCTTTCGTCATCAGAAAGATTCCATGTGCAGTTTTATAAAAATACTCTGATCATTCGGAGATACGTTGAAAAAACGTTCAAAATGCAAAATTCACTATGATGGTAATATTTCTTTAGTAAAATATCACAATAGAGCGTAGTCATGTAATTATGATAACGGACAATGTACATAAGCTAAATGCCATCTAATATGCATTTCAGACTTTTCGATACATCCAGATGGAGTCTTGAGAAATACATCATGTTATATGTGATCAATAACGATTCGAAATATCCCCTTTCCAAACTGACCACAAAGCAATTCGTCTTTTGTGATTATCAGAAAGTAAACTTGAATGAGGATCTTCCATTCTCGTTCAAGACCTAACAATATTTAATCTACTTTTATCAACTACTTCTTGCATATGGTAAATTAAATTATCTAGTTGCGCATCGCAGTCCCTAAATGGACAAAACCATGTCGGTATGCAATGGAAACTTGTTGTTACTCATGGATTTGATAAACAGGATTACCTATTATTTAAAATAATAAGATATTGTTGCGAATTTAAAATCAGACAGATGAATGTGATGCTAAAATAATCTATTTGGAAAGCATATTTAGTGCAGTACTAAATATATCATATATGTTTCGTCTTATATTTTACGTACATCCAGCAAGTAGCTTACATGTTTTCGCATATATTCAGGCATCATACTTATTCATATTTGTTTTGTCGTTCTCAAAAGTAGATGAAAACATTATAAGTTTACTTATCTGAGAGCTTAGAAAGTACATGAATTAATATAAAACTACGGTTAGTAATTGCTTAAGCTTATTTTTCTACCACTCCTTATCTTATATAACCACGCTTTAATTGAATAAATTAAGAGTTAAAATAATTTCTTTAATGTAACAATCCGTTAAAAATCATCGATCACACGACATGTACCCCTTCCCAATGTATAATACATTATTTTAATGACATTTCTTTATAGTGTTTAGACTGTTTTCATAAATAACTAGGATATCCTTCCTAGGAACTATTTGTATTGACGGTAACTCTATCATTTATTGTAAATATGATTGATATTATTGTTAACAATGCAAATCATATTGTATTCTTACTGTAATATTATTTTTTTTCCAAAATTAACATTACATTTCAGTCCAGTTTATCAATGTTTGTATTTTCAACTGCTTAATAAAAATGATCCAATAAAAATTATCAACATTCTACAAAGTAAGTATTTCTACACTTGATGCTTTCATCAAGTTTTTATCATTTGGCTATTAAGAATACTGATATGATATAGACATCAATTTTCAAGTCAGGTATACAGTAATCATATAAATACATCCATTATGAAGTTGAACAACAGAAGAACAACAGTTGAAGCAGAATATTCTAAGTTCATTAGATATCGTAAATTTTTTCTTGAGCAATTGACCAATTTATTAAAACTAAAGTATAACAATTTGCAATTGATTAATCACTAGGCGGTGATCAATGTCATATGTATCAGGTCCTTCTAAGTGCAGATCGAATCCTATCGGCCAAGTTTTAATGTGGCCACCAATCTAAGTGACTTGACATTGGATGCGCTGTGCTGAGATAAGATGAGGGTTAGAGGTAGTCAGCATGAAACCCTGGAACAAGTTTTCGTTCTACTTGACACTCGTCAGCAATTTTTATATGATCACCACTAGTGACCATGAAAAAACTAAACAATGAATATTATCGGTGATTTTGTACAAAATTTCACAAAAACTTAATTGAGGACATATTTGAAAAAATCTAAACATTGTGAGATAGGTTGTGTAATATTTATTAAAAGGATACAAGTAGGTTTTAAGATTTTAATGATTTCACATTGTATCATGAATCAAAAAATTCTTTTGAGAATTGATGGAATAATAAACAACTACGTAAAAATACCGTAAAATAATCATGACTATAAATGGAAAGTAATCAAAACGTTTTAATTTACGTTGTTGATGGTAAATATTTTTCAAAGTAACAATTGATTACACATAACGGGTAGATATCTCGTCATAACAAATGATGTTTGTTGGAAGAACACATAACCAACATAAATAACTAGTAATCTAAATTTAATTATTAGTCACATCGACTATTTAAATCAATTGTCTTCCAACTACAATTTACAACAAACGATATTTTTCAACAGAATAATAAATTATCTTCTATTTACATTGACCAAACACAAATTTTTCAATCAACTTTGATGAAAATTTGAACAGTGAGAGTTATTTATTTAGGCCTGTTGCCCTTCGTAACCAGGATTCTCCTGTCAACTTTGTTTTGTGTTCTACTTTCTAGTTGTTTCAAAGTTCTGTACATACTTTTGAATGATAGGACTTTAAGATGTATTCATTAACAAAATTAGGAACTTTCTGGCTTTTCAGATGGTACCTGCTTTTTGAATCAATGACATGTGATCATATTTAACACATTTACATCTTCAACTAATTCACTCTGATATTACCAATGTTCCACATTTTGATATTATTCAACGATGCATAGTGAGTCCAGTTAAACTTCACAAGTTATCCAATTAAACGAAAAAGATTACTCAATATACAGTCACTAGTATACTAAACGATTCTTATAATGAATTCACTTGGTATTGTTTACTTGAAACTTTCCATTGATGTTTAGGACTGCAATTGATCAGTCTCTTATTGCCATATGTGCATACTGTGCGTATTGTCTCGATATTGCCTTAATTCACAAGAAGGATAGTGCCTAGCAGTAGAATCTAGGACATACGTTTCGACCTATTTGGGACTCGTCAGCCGGATGTACCTGCATCTCTTATAATCTGAGAAAATTTTATTAATATAATATATTGAACCGAAGCTTCTTGTAATGGTTTTTTTAAAATTTAAAAACAATCCATTGTTTCCATGTTTTCGTATAACGTAACATGTATATGAAATTGTTTTCTTTTCTATCATACTAGATAGTTGAACACATTAGATAAAATATAGAAGTAATAAATTAATATTATGTAAACAGTTTCATCATTGACAATATGTTTATTATGTTAAAAGGATAAATTTGATAATTTTATTTATATCTGCCCTTTATTCTATGAAATAAAGATTTTTCAACAGAACAAGAACAACAAGATTTGTAGAACATAAAATGATTTCATTCTATTTCATGATCTCTCATAAGTTAGAGACAACTTAATGTAGTAATTATTAATATAAATATGGTTGTTAATAAATGTTTAGTATACATTAGGTTGTGAAGTTCAGATAAATGTTCCCAATATATAAATATACATCGATCTTAACCATAATAATTTGTACACTATATAGACCTATTCGTTCGAATTATTATAATATTGTTTACGTTTTGAACATTGATCTTAACTTCACAACCTATAGTATGTTCAAAATATGTTAATCATTATATTTACATTAATGATTGTAATTTTTGGTTGTTATGCAGATGATAAGGAAGCATGAAAGAGAATGAATTCATAATGTGTTCTACAAATCTTGTTTTCCATACTTTTTCACGCCTGTTACCCACAATAGAGTATAAGCCACCAACCAGCATTCTCCAACACACTCTGTCCTGGGCATTCCTTTCTAGTCCTATCCAATTGCTATTCATTCTTCTCATGTCTGTCTCCGTTTCTCGGTATATCAAATTTTTTGATCTTCTTTTTTGCATTCGGCCTAGAAGATTTCATGTGAGGACTTGCCTTGTGACGTAGTTGGGTGCTTTCCTCATTATGTGTCCTATCCACTTCCAGCACTTCTACCTGATTTCTTCCTCCACTAGTATCTAGTTTTTGTTCTCTTCCACTGTAGGTTGTTGCTGTTAGTGTCCGGCCAACGGATCTGAAGTATTTTGCGTAGACAATTGTTGATAAACACTTGTATCTTCTGAATGATAGCTTTCATAGTTCTCCAAATTCCCGCCTCATACAGCAGAACTGTCCTGATATTTGTATTGGAAATTCTGACCTTGGTGTTGGTTGACAGTTGTTTTGAGTTCCAGACGTCCCTTAGTTGTAAATATGCTGCTCTTGCTTTACCGATCCGTGCCTTCACATCTGTATCAGATCCACCATGTTCATCAATGATGCTGCCCAAAGATGTAATGGTTTTTACATCTCACGAAGCTTCTCCGTCATGTGTGATTTGATTAGTGTGCGTTGTGCTGCATCGGAGAATCTTGCTTTTCCCTTTGTGTATGTTGAGACCTACTGCTACTGAGGCTGCTGCTACGCTGGTTGTTTTCTCTAGCATTTTTTGTTGCGTGTGTGATAGAAGGGCCCGATCATCTGCAATGCCTAGATCTTCCAGCAGCATCCTAGCTGTTCACTGTATCCCGTGTTTCCCCTCAGATGTTGACGTCTTCATGATCCAGTCGATCCTCAGGAGAAAGAGTGAGAGTAAGCAACCTTGCCTGACACCAGTCTTTAGCTCGAACGACTCTGTCAATTGTCCTCCATGCACAATTTTGCGGTTTAATCCATCTTAAAAATTCTGTATGATATTGACTATCTTCTCAGGCACTCTGTAGTGTTGAATAAACTTGCATAGTGTTTTTCTTGCTCTGATTAAATTTGTCAAGGAATTTTATTAAAACTTCATTCTTACTGAGAAGAGCTGTTTGACTGATCACAGAAATATATAATTTGTTTTCACACTGGTATGTAAACGTCTAAGGAATTTGTAGAAAATTCAAGGGGATTCTCCTAGCTAATGGAAAATTAAGAGAAATTTAACCACTTGTTTCGACAATGATAGAATTGTTGGTCTAAATGTAATATGAACAATAAATTTTATAGGTTCATAATGCAATTACATATCTCGACCATTTTAGGGAACAATTTTTAATTTATTATATTCGTAAGTTGCTTCAACCAGAACGTATACATCAAAATACCGTTTATAAGATATAAAGAATAAAATAATTTTCATTTCCTTAATTTTCATTTAGTAATCTTACGAGAATGTTGTTCTTTTACCTAGGTAAACATGTCAGTCTACATCCTGATGAATCACTATGCGATGACGGAGCTGAATTTGATTCGATTCTCTGGATACGTAAGTAAATATTTCTCATAACTAGTATCCCATCGTTTCAATCAAGTCCATTTGTTTTAAATCACTTAAACTTGTCAATGAAAATCATATAAAAGTTAACGAACGTAAATTGGATCTGTATCGTGCTAATCCTTAACTATATCTTACATTGAAAACTTATCACTTCAAAGAATCGTATAAACTCATATTTAAACTCTACTATTCATTTTTAATTCACTTTGATATGAAAGTCCAACACAAATTATCAATTCATAGATCGAACCTTTTATTATTATTTTTTATTGATTGAATAATGTTAAACATTAACATCAATGGATTCCAACTCAGTAGTTTAGAGTCAAAGCATTTGCATGTGAGACCGAAGGTCCTGAGTTCAAGTCCCATATACAAACTACTGAGGAGTCCCATACTAAAAGAAAACAGTCGTCCAGTGCTTCCAGGTCTTCAATGATATTTTAGCTTAGAGTGACTCATGATTTCAACTATTAAGATAAAAATAATAAGTACCAAAATCTAACTTTAATCATTGTAATTAAATCTCAGTACATTACGTTTGTATATTTTTAGGATTATCTAAAAGTGTAACACTTTTTATTTTGATTATTCAAAGCTTTTCCCTATACACAAAATTAATTTATATACTTAACATTTTTTTGGATAAAAAGATGAAAATATTTCTTTTTCGAGGTGAGGGTGAGGTGGGGAACAATCAGATTTTTCTTCAATTACTTGTTATCATTTTGAAGGGAAACAATTTAGGTTAAATAAATGTTAGACCAATTTAAATTATTTTAATCATTTCAATTTCACACACACACAGACACTAATTGATATTTCAAAATGTTTATTTGATTTGAAAAAAAAAATAGTCAGGTGAATTGTAAAAATAATTTGAAATCTTTTGTAGTCTAGACAAGTGTAAGAGAAAAGAAAAAAATTCGTTAAATCAATTTCTGGGTTATTGCATTTTTTGTTGTTGTTGTTGTTGTTGAGGGGGAGGAGGAGGAAGAAGAAAACATGATAAAAATTTTCATTCTTTGATTATAGACTTAATGAAATACGCATTTATTTACTTCTATCAATACACAGTCAATGTTTGTTGGATATCATATAATATTATTATTTGTAATATAATATATAGACTTAAGTATTCTATGATAGTTGTTCACTTTATTGAATATTAGTTTATTAAAAGTTTTAAAGAATTCACAATGAATTAAAACCAAAATTCAACAAGATATTAATTCCAGTCAGTTTTAAAAAATGTCTGTCATGGAATCAGATCTGTGCAGTAACAGTAAATAAACAAAGAATGTTAATATTTAATTCAAATAATTTGTATTAACTTATCAATGAGTCCAGGAGTCCCAGAGTCCCCGAGTCCCAGAGTAAACATCAGCTCTGAGATGCAGGTACATTCAGCTGACGAGCCTCAAATGGGACGAAACGCGCGTCCTGAATTCCACTGCTAACCACTACCCATCATTACTTACTTTTTTACTTACTTATGCCTGTTACTCCTAATGGAGCATAGGCCGCCGACCAGCATTCTTCAACCCACTCTGTCCTGGGCCTTCTTTTCTAGTTCCATCCAATTCTTGTTCATTTTTCTCATGTCTATTTCCGTTTCCCGGCGTAATGTGTTCACTATCCATCATTGCTTACAGAATATCATAATCGTTTTGTCAAATACATTGTTATAGTCTATGATTAACTTAGAAAAACCGGTAAACGGATTTCGTGGTTGTTGTTTTCCGGCAAATCTTTAAAATATTGACCCGTAATGTTGTACACATAGAGATATGGAAATAAAACCAGAAATACATTCAAGAACTTGAGTATTAAGAAATCATAATATTTGTTATAAATAATAAATCACAAAGATTAATGTACTAACATTGTACACAGCACAAATAATTGTCTAGATATATCCGTTTATCACTTACTGGTCAGTATATCTTATCATCAAATTGTATTGAATCTATTCTAATAATATCGGTTCAATTTTAACATCTAGAGTAATGAGCCCAATATTGTTTTCCATCATTATCTTTATCTTGTCCTAACTCCTAATGCATTTAGTTTTATTTGTATTTCTCACGAAATAAACTTAACAAATTAATGTGTCATAAAAATGTTCACATTATATTAAGCTAATATATCAAATAACCCTGACAATTATTACATAATCTATAAAGTCTTAATCAGCCTTCTTCATTTTCATTTGAAATAATAATAATAGGAATAACTGGGAGTTCCCAATTTAATACAGTTTGAATAACGGATAGAAAAAGTAATAAAAAAGAAACACAATGTAACAAGATTATTGAATCATTTTGTAAGAATTACAGTCTCAATTACAATTATTTTCAAAATAGTCAGTCTGTTCATTGGAAACTTAATGCTGATATTTTTATAGTTTTAACAGATAACAAACTGATCAGAGGAGAGTTTTATTGTTGCAAAAGTCTGCTTAATCATTCAAGAATTCAAGAATATTAACTGAATAAAAAACATCATTGAATAGAAGATTTATGTTTTGTTCTTATGTATACTAGGATAATCATTTTAAGACTTTATATGCAGTTAGACTATAATCTTTTATATGATTACCTTTAAATGAAAATTTGTATTTACTATGAAACATTATTTAAGTAATAAAGTATCAAAACTAAGTCTTTAGATGGACTGACAGTATTTAAGAATATTTACATAATTAGCTTCAAGAAGATTTTCCTTGAATGTAAAGATTATTCATAATATAAAGTATAATCCATTTTACTTTCACTAATTTTAATAAACAGTCAAGCTCAATTCATTTATTAAGACCACGTGACAATACATGTAAATGTGAATATTTTATTGAAAATAAGTTTGTTGACCACCAAATAATTTTGCAAAAATTATCTTATTAGATCATGGTCTCATTTTAAAAATTGCTGAAGTATCTTTTGTAGATTGTTTCATAGTTATTTCTCCTTTCATATATTCTATTTACTTAACTAAATATCTCAATAAGCTTTAACAAACTACTCATCGTAAAAACACATTTCAAGTTTAACCTGCTTATGTACTATTGGTGTATTGACTTATATGATTGACTCATATATTTGTGAATAGGATATATAAGTGTCTCTCTATATATAAATCGGTATGAGCGTCACAATAGTTAGCGATCCAAGCATTTCGATTTTTTTTATAAAACAGTAAAATAGCTTAATTAGTATTGTAGTGAACGAGAACACAAGTGGGGGACAATTGAATGTATGTGAACGCGAAATTACAGAACATCTTACTAAAATCTGAGAATCATACAGTAAATACCTAATTTGGAAAATGTCAATCACTTGTCTCAAACTTGACTGTTCCTTTTATAAAAATTATTCAATCGTCTCAGAGTTCGTTGTTCCTGCATTTTCATACCACTTGCTTTATGTTCCAGTTCTTTCCTTCTCGACCTTTCTTGCCAGATATTTTAATCCTGACTATCGTTATATACTACTCATATCGATATATGAGTGGCACACACCACAGTGTGTGAACTAAGAAATAACTTTAAATTGATTCTCTAAAAAGAAAGTATCCTGTTTGTAAGTTAAAGTTTAAATTCCTTATCCAACTAGTAAATATTTCCACATAACTTTATTTAGTTTGTAGATATAAAATGACTTATTTTAAAAAACAAAACAATAAACATGCTATTTGTTTAACAGTTATTACATAATCATTTATATTTTACTAATAATTCTGTATTTCAAACCAGTGCAAATTAAAATAATATGATATTCAATAGGTTTATATCTTTGAAATCAACTACCTCATCATTTTTCTAATAAATAGTTTAATGAAGATTAAAACGTTTTCAAAGTGTAAACAATTAGTCACATTTGCATAAATAGAAGAGTCAGTTGAATTAATGATCATTTTTTATATATCTATATCGACATCTAAGTACCATCTGTGTTACTTTGACAAGTCTTGAATACAAAAAATACATGTTTCTTTTCTGGAGTTATATATTATAAAAACACTAGAATCAATTGTAGATGATTCGTGAATATAACATGCTTATTTTAATTAATTCATTGAAGAGATATTCAAATGATAAAGATGATACTATTGATCAGATTTATCAAAATGTTTAGAAAATATGAATAGGAAAAGAAAAGAAAACTTATAAAATTTAGACAATTATGACTATTTACTTGGTTAATAAATAATGTTAAGAATGTTCATGTGATCGTCTATAATCTGGAACAGTTTTCTAAATGTATTCCATAGAATAATACGCTTGAATGGATTCAATCCAAAAGAAATAAGAAAAAAATAATAAACCTATTCGCTTAGAAAATTTATTCTTCTCAGTTATCAAGTTGCATCTTTCTATTTTGTTGGACAAAGTCTAAAATTATATCCTAATGAGTTGATTCCCAATAAACTTCGAAAACAAAACTCAAAAATAATAAAACGTTCAATTAACTAATTTTCTTGTGTGCAATATTCTTGTATTTAACACTCCTAAACAATAAATAAATAGAACTTATATGGTGTGTGCTACTTAGATTGACATAAGTAGTATATGATGTTAGTCAGGAACAGAATGTCTGGCAGCAGAGAGACAAGAGGATCGAACAGTAAAGAATGGGAACAGAATGCAATTTGTATGAAAATGCAAGAACAATGAAGTCTGAGTCATTATGAGATAATAGATAGAAATTTTGCAAATTACGTATTTACTATTTGATTGTTAGATTTTATTAGCAAGTCCTGTAATTTTGTGTTAAATACATTTGATTGTCCCCACTGGTGTTCGTGTTCACTACACTTAGACAAAAAAACACAAAGACTTTAAAAACTGACTATAAACATCTACAACATCATAAGAGTTCCTCAGTATCTTGTTATTAATAGCGCTATTTATTGATCTATGGTGCTGACACTTAAACTGGATAATGCGTATTCCATTTCACTTGATACAAATGTTGAAAGATAATTATCATGAATCCTTAGAGGCGTTTGTTCTTTTAGAGAAGAAAAAAATACTATTGTCCTAACCATCTATTGGATCATTTCTTTAAACATAGGAAACATATAACATTCATCTTCATTGACTTCATGTCACCGAAATATACCAGTTCATTTTGTTTCTTTTGCATTGAAGTACAAAAAACAAAAGCTAATTTAAATAACAACGGAATCATATATTATATAACCATAACCTATAAGCTATCACAAATAGCCTTGTTATATATAATCATTACAACAATGATACCGTAAATTATCAAGTTGCTAATGAGAAAATGAATAAATCATGTGCTTCATCCATTAATTTAGACTATTAGACCAGTCAAAAATCTTCATTTCTTTAATAGGAAATTTGATGTTTATTACTTAAGTAAGCAAACAACAAAACTAATGGAATTTCATATCATTTAATACCATTTCATATCATAATAAATATAGTTTTTCTTATATTCTAATGAGTAGAAAATTGTATTTCTGATATTTCGTAATTTTATCTAAGTTACCTCGTCAGAGTGAATAAATAGCTGAAGTCATTTTAGTTATTTGTTTATTATGAAGTGATGACTTACACTAAATCATAGAATGTCAGAAATATAATTTTCTACTCATTACAACTACCCAATGCTCAATTTATTTGAAACTATCAAGTTCAACCTTGGCATTGGTACCTACTTTTCATATTATGTAAAACTTATGAAGAATAGTTCTAATAATATCATAAGTGAATAATAACTACTTATCGTTCTTAAACTGTCGTGAAATTGTACTTTAAGGCAGAAAAATGTCCTTGGAGAGTATTTTGTCAAGAACTATAATAATTACTTAAAACTGATATAAATAAACTGTTAATGTATTATATTTAACGAAAGTTAATCACACGTATATATCAATTTCATAGGTGATACTGCTAATCATGAATGCTGCATCAAGAAACATAATGGAAAGATAAAAATCTTAGATAAGTGTATTTCAGCAATGATTTGAGATATGATTACAAGATGACATGGAAATGTAAGAACAATGATACAAGAGGTGGAGAGAAAGTTAATAAAGTAATTAATAATAATATATTTTATTCATATTTATGTTTCTATTAGTAACAGATACTTGTTATTTGCAAAATAAATACCAGATTTACATGTGATAAACAATCTCAGATATATAGTTAAAAGTAATCACACCTGAGGCTACACGTAATGTGGAATGTAGGTAGGAAACTTGTATGAAATAACTAGTATTTGCAACAAATCAGCGTATTTACTTCTGTTGAACTTTAAATAAAAGGACTATCGTCTGTGCCCCACATTTTTGAAAAGAATTACTCTAGACGTAGTATATATATATATATATATATATATATATATACTCATTTTATCCTATTTTACAAAAAATCAACACCCAAATATGATTGGTTTAACACAGTATAATCCTGATTGTTAAAAGCTATATATTTCTTTGATAATTTTGATTTTGATTATTACCCTGAAGAAGTCCAGACAAGTTAGCTGGACGAAACGTTGGAATTAGTTAAATTTCAATCGCTGAGAATATTTCAAATATAATTTTCACATATAATGACTTCTCTATACTCGGCGCTCAATTACTGTCAAACTATTCGTTCTAATCTTGACGAATATATATATATATATATATATATATATTGATATATATTCTATGGAAGATCTAATTATATTCTTGTAATTTACAATTGATTGATCGCCAAAAAGGACCTGATACACATGACATTGTTCATCACTCAGTGATCAATCAATTGTAAGTACATCTCAGTCTTACAGGAGGTCATTCATGGCCCAGATAGCCCAGTGGTAACGTCTATGACTGTGAAGCTTTATGACACAGCATCAAGTCCGTCAGAAAGCACCAGGTCCCACAAGATTACAGGTACGCCTTGCTGACAAGCGCCAAATAGCACAAAACCACTATCTATTCCAGTAAGTTGCGCTTTTCATCTGAAGATTTATCTGTAACAGTCTAAGCATAACTTACAAGAATAAAACTTTTGTGAACTTTTCATTATGATTTGTTCGTTCCTGTTGCAAAACATATTTCATACGAATATTGCAGTGATAAGTCTCAAAAATTAAAATATTCAGGAAATCTAATACCTAAACATTTCGCAATCTACGTTTAAATGTTTTAGAGTTCTAGTTTTAAATAAACCTTACGCACTTCAACGTAACCCAATGAAAAATACAAATATGTAAAACAAAAAACAGAAAACCTTTTATTTTATCACAATCACTATCTGACAAAACAAGTTAGCAACCACCCAGACTATTTTAATTGAGGAATTAGGTGGCAAACTCATAAACGTAGTGATATTCACTTTAACTGCTGCTACCCAGCTCACTTATTCAACTATTACTTTAAATCACTATAACATTATTGGTGGGAAACTTAATAACATTACTCCAGAGTTTTAAGATAAGAGGTAAAGCTAAGCTAGTATATTTTGTATATAAAACATAACTGATTAAGTATTAGTCCCTTTTATTTGAAATTTAATTTAGATCTCATTTAACTTAACAATAAAGCAAAGTGAGACCAGGAATGTTTTTGGTATTTTTATAAACTGAGATATTTGTATGGTGGCATCTAGTATATCCAGAGATCCTTTATAGAATTCAAAATATTAAACGAAATTATAAACTAGACTCCACTGAGAACTCAATGTCTTTTTGTGTACCTAAATAATACTTTTGTTATACAAATTTTACTTTTAATCTCCAACATTTGAATGTTCACGTTTAACGGAGAAATCATAGAAAAACTAGTAGAGCATAACTACTATTCAGATTATGTGCTGAAGTTTCACTGAATAGATGTTTGAACCTACAGTTTGAATCTTAATTGTGAAATACATTCTAGTTGATATCCATAATACTTTTACTGAATTTAGAGGAAACAACTGTATGATATTTTTTTAGAAGTTTTCTCTTAAAGTAAACATTAACTGAATCATTGGTTCGTAAACTGACTAGAATTACTAGACACCATATTATTTGAACGGAGTAAAACAGAGTGATGTACTTTTGTAAGTAAAAACGAAATCACGAGTTAACATAAGAACATATCATAATAGCTCATTCTAGAAGAAATTATCAGTCATATTTTCATGAAAAGAAACATAAACGGTAATTTAGAGTTTTATTGTATTTTCTTACCCTAGATATCAATATATATATATATAATGGACGGAAACTCAGATAGGGGAACCAATTCAATATGATAAGCAAAATTACACAGCACGTTTTGTAAAATATAAAGACCATACATTAAATCCATTATATGCATTTAATTCAGTTGCCTTGTATGTAAATCTTCATTCTTAGAATTCGGTTATTATTCCAATTCCTCTTTCTTTTGCTTTCCGTTTAAATCGATCTTCTTAATCTTCTGCTGATAGGTATTCCATTTCTAATGGGTGCTTCATACCACTTATATCTATCAACATAAGTAGCACACACCATATATACATAAGAAACTGTTAGTAGTAAAAGTAGTCAGCATACTCTTATTTATTCTCACTGGAAAACTTACGAATATTCTGCACCAATCTTCGTTCTTTCTCTCTTTGAGATAATAAAGGGAACTATGTGTAATAATAAAATTTTCCTAGATAAAAATATATAAACTGTATATAAGTAATTATGATGTACACTGCCAAATATAAATGTTCAGATTCAATTAAGATATAGACTTATGTTATTAAGCTTATGTCTATAGATCTAAGATGATTTTTTTTCCAAATTAGATCAATCCCGGAGGACATAAATATAGAGCATCGAAATTACTTATGCTTTTCTACTTTTATCAAAATAGTGTTTAAATTAGTACTTTTAGCTTATGTACAAATTACTCAACTCAATTGATGAAGTCATGAACTGCTTAACTGTTGATTGAGTTGATCAACTGATTGTTATCTCAATCTGCATTTATTAGTATTTGATAATAAGGTATCAACTAATATCATTTTTTCGAAATCTAAATATATTTCAGACAACCTTTTGTTTTACAAGCAAAGATGGATAGTGACTAGAAGTCCCAAATAACAATGAGAAGATACCAAGTGAATATAACCTGTTATTTTTTGTGGAATATTGTGAAAGTTAATGGTATTAGCCTTCAAAGGTCTAGTATTAAACATTTAAGTTACTATGATTAGAAGTGGAACTCATTTGATGTACACTTGATAACTTTCTTAAGATTGAAACAAAAAAGTATTCAAACATTTAATGAGGTCATAAACTTAAAAATCAGTTAAACCAATGCGCTATTGATGACTTTAATGTACTGAAACTGTTATAACAATTCAGCAGTCTATTATATTTTTCATCAGTGGATATAAACAACAAGGGAAAGAAATCATATAAAATATACATCCCTCTAAATTAAAAAAGTTAGTAAGTTGATTGAAGCAGTTCTGCAATCTCATCATCTTAGTTCTCTTTTGGTATTTCTTCTAATATTTGCAACATATTACAGCTGATGGTATTCTTTTCTTTCTATTATCATAAATTTTTCGATGGTCAAACTTTTTTAAAGATTTTTCAGTATTACATTGATTCTATCTATTATATACTGTTTTGTTTGTATTGGCATCTATTTACAGCTTCACTCTCTAAAAATCTGAATGATTTATTCATTCCATGTCCTTTTGTTGGTGGATTCCAAATTACAAGTTTAAGTAGAGTTACTTCTGAAAAAGTGAGTTTGCTTAAAATAAATATTAAAAAATTCAAATGACAGAAAACCATATTTGATTTCATATCCATAATTACGTAAACATGTTAGTATCCATATTCGTTTGTGTTTATCATGTTGAAAAAAAATCTTACTAAATATTGTAAAACTGTGAATAACTGTGTCTTTTTTTTTACACAATCTGACCTTACCAATCTGTTGAGAAACACATCCATAATAGTTAAAGGCAGGTAAATAATAAAAACCAAATGAAGACAGTCTATTTAAAATGTCACACAGAAATTATTTCTATTAAAAACTAAATACTAACTGTAAACAAGACGTTTAGCTAAAGAAATCTGACTTACTAATTAAAAAATCTCACCTCAATATGCATAAAAAATTAATTGATTTAATATGTTGAGTAACTCAAGGATACAGAAAACGGTAGTGTAGAAAGGATAGAGAATATTAAATTGAAAGAGATTCCACTACATAGAATAAATACACGCCTTTATACAGTAGGTTAGCTTAATGACAAGGTATCATGTCTTAATCATTAAAACAAGAAAGATAACCTTAAAATTGAGAAATTTAAGCCAGTGAAATTTCTAAAAATCTCCACAAGACCCATCCTGATAATAATAATCACCTGCTCAATAGTGACTGACTCCAGGAGACACTCCTGAAGTTCTAGTGAGAATTCGTTACTAATGGAGTTCAACCGGGTCAGTTTTGTGGTAGTAACTCACTGAAGACAATGGTGTACGGTGGCGCGATTTCGTGGATTGGTCGAAATTAGACATTAACACCGTTATATGCCGGCTCAGTGGTGTAGTTGGTTAAGCGCCTGGCGCAAGACTGATAGGTTCTGGGTTCGAATCTCGTGGGGCATGGGATCGTGGAGGAGTCCCATACTAGGACGAAACGGCCGTCCAGTGCTTCCAGGTTTTCCATGATGGTCTAGCTTCAATTGACTCATGATTTCAACTAGTGAAATTTAAACAATATAAATGTAGTGGTAAGGCATAATATTAAAGTAATAAAGAAAATCATTAAGCAATGTAAAATGTCAACTCACAAATTATTCATTCATAATTACTTTTCTAATTTATTTACATGCAGCCTGTTTGTGAGTATCAGACATTCGCAACATTGGAAAGTGATTGTGTTATAAATGAAGGGATTGAGTGGACGTTTGATGACCCAAAGTGTAATATATTTGAGGTCAACAGCAGTAAGTACATTATTTCCTATATCTTTTATTACAGCTAATCATAAAAAAAACATCTAACTGAACATATGTCAAGTGAATCAGACAATTTTATGAAGTTCATTGAAAAGAGGTTAGGTTAAAACTAGTGATCGCGTTATCTACCTACCTAGTCATAAGATTTAATGTTTAATTATCTGCCATTCTATAACTGAAGAAGGAATAAAGAATATTTGCTAAAATAGCATAACTTTCAAGCTTACATTTTGATGCTCAAAAGAGCTTAATTGTTTAGATTTGGATCAAAAATCAAACCAGTTGTTTAGTTTCGTTATTAGAAGTAACAACGCACATGGTTATCTAACATAATTTTATACAGTAAAACATGACAAATTATGGTAATTAAACTCAATTCCTTAAAACTTAAGTTTTATTTCAAATAAATAAACAAAGAGTATCCATTCATTATTCTTAAAAAGCTTTGATTTTATGTCTTTTTTTAATAAACCAGTCAGTCATCATAATTGTTACGCTTCTTGGAAAAAGGATGGTTTGACCTATACACTCTTGCACCAAGATCGAAAAGATGATGGGTTTAGTATCTTTACAATGGTAAGAAATGAGTTTTTTCATGGGTACAAAGTGGAAACTACTTATTTAAAAGTTTGTTATTTTATACCTTACACTTATTAATACTTTCAGTAATTCTTTCGAAGTAATCCATTGTGGAAAATGGTAAATTCTTAATAGAACTACCGAACAATAAATTTTTTTACATCTCTATTGTCCGTTATTATATGCTGCATTTTTTCTTAAAAAAACTCGACGTAATATTTTGTCTAGGACTAATTGAAAGTTAATAAGAATGAAAATATTCCAGTATTTCGTTGTATTTAAACGGTTTGCTTATATATTATTCGTCATCATTTATAGACCTATATGGGGGTTAATAGAGTAATTCTTACTTAAAGTTGTAGACATCGCATCCAATTACCTCTAATCCTAGACCTCATCACTTGATTTAAATGATCAATCGAAATGGTACTAACTGAGTAGTGGTTTTAGAATATCGAGGGTAAACACAATATTTGTATTATGTATAGAATGAGGACGGCCTACAGGTGAACTACGAGAAACTCCAAAAAGCTCAGAAAGAGCCAAAGATATTCCATCCAATCATCGTTTGGAGTAATAATCCGGAATTTCTATCTGTATCTTCCCTATTGGACAAATGCTAAGAACCCCCTGTATGCAGATTGGATGACTATAGTGATGATTTCGTTTTTACTAAAAATTATAAATACCTGAAAGTTTTGTAACATATTTAGCACTGTTCGGAACAGCACTCCTCTCACTTGTCTTCTGTCCTCTCATTTGCGACTTGGAAGGTTCTAGTATTCGAGTGCACAAGTTATACGCGGTATACTGAATATCTAAACTTTAGAAATAACATGTAGAATGTGATTTATCACCTGAATTTATATGGAGTATGTCCGACTGATACTTGCTCATTTATTCTGAATTACTGGAGGAGTATTTTTACATGAAAGGATATCAGTAATCAACCAACAAAAAGCCATTTTTTAGTTCAGTTATGAATATAGGGAACGCTAAGTTAAAAAAAGATGACTTAAAATCATTTCGAATATAAGTTATTATAAAGTATGAGTTTTGTAGATAACTTATTATTTAATGAAATTTTGCTTGTGCATTAAAATTAACTGTTGTTTTTCAAACAATACGGTCTACTGGTTGAATAATCCGACTTCACTCGACGTTATTACACCATTTCAAATAACTTACTTTAACAACCTGTGTAGTATTATTAGTAAATAAACGCACGAGCAACATAAACACCTTAAAATAGTAATTGAAATATTTTGGTTACACGGCTTGTCAGTTTTAACTTAAGTATTAAAAAATCCGTGAGGTTTATATCACCTACATCTCCACAACATAGATAATTGTCTTGATAGAAAAAGTTCAAACAGCCTGTGTTGTGTAGTAATGTACGAAATCATTAAACTATTTTTCTGTCTGCTTACCTGACGTGTACAGGTGTTCTCAGATATTCCAGAACCTTTAAACCCATCAGACTACACTTATGGTCAAAGTAAGCCACTTTGGATATACCCAGGTTTATCCTCAAAATATTATCAATATATCACTCTATTACTGGATTCATATCGTCCACATATTGATACAATAATCACTAAAAATTGGAATGATCCAAGGACCTACGAAAGTCCTGCTTACCAACTACAAATACGTCGTGCATGTAAGCTGAATGAATTTTTTTCAAATGTTATTATTATTGCCATTTACTGATCTACCTTGTGGGCTGTTCTACGAGCATTTGAAAACAATAAATATGTTAAGCATTACTAACATTTTAATTCACTGATGGTATATTTATTTTCTTAACTATAAAAGAACCTTGGTATGTCTGTATGTTGTCCTTCCACGATATGAGTTTATATAGACTGATTAATCATTAAAGTGTATTTGCTGATCGAACTAATTTTTAGAAAAAACTAAGCTAACAGGACCTTTTTATCGTCAAAGTATTATCAATCATATTTAAACTAACTAAATTAGTGTATTTTTAACCTAATAAGCCTGTTAAATGACTTTATAGTTTACCAGAGATCATTCAACGTTTTATATTTGTCGTAAAATGACATTTCAAAAGTAATAAATCTCGTCCAAATATGTATTTTTGGAAAATTTCCAAGTAGTTTGCCTGCGAGTTTATTTTTTCACTGTACAGATTGGTACTTTCAGTCTAACTTTGCGAAAGCGATCACGGAATTATTAGTTTTTGTTAATAATATTAAGGTTTTATTAGAAATGATGACTTCAAATACTCTTTGCTAATTCAGTTTTTCCCATGACCTTCATCTCCATTTTACTGGTTGCCATTCTTTTTAGCTCACTATTTTTCTCTTTGCTTGAAGGTTATGCTTTCATTACAGTATATACGAACCTGTGCCATTTTGTTTTGTTATGCTTGTTCTACTATGAATATTAAGTTTTTTCCTATACTGCGTCTTCTTTCTGCGTTAACGACCAACCGTTAAAGCGTTGTATGCCAGCTGACGTTAGTTATTTACTCAATAGAACTGTCTAATCGTTTTAAAACGACCAAATATTAAGATTTCATATGCCTACACGATCTTTTTTCAAAACTCAAAAATCAGGAATGCAAAGTTTGTGAGCACTTTATTTCGCAAATAGGTATTAAGTTTCCAATAAGTATCTGTGAAAACATATTGTAGTGTTCTATTTCAATATTCTCGTTATAATGAGATTATATATTTCTAATGTCGTACATTTTTAAATTTTTAGTTGGAATATGTGATGATGAGCCAACCAGCTGTACAAAAGGATGCGATCATGATATACGAAATCGATTATTTTGTTATAAAAGCTGCCCGGTGGACGACAGAAAGTGTAGTAAGTGCTTTAGACAAATTTTCGTGTACCCTAAACAAATATCCAGTCATTCATTTCACTTAAATATCTATTAAAGTAATACACAGTAGTAAAGAGAAATTTACAAGGTCTAAAACGTCATTATTACCAGTCAAAACTGAATGAAAACATTTTTCAAAATATCCATTTGAGAGTTATGTAAATGTTTACAAACAATTAAAATTATTCATGTGATGACTTAAATTTAAAGTGAACTAAATATTTTATCAAATATTTGTTTATTTTGGTTGAAGGGATTGCACCACATAAAGATAGATTGAAGGCAGCTACTACTATAATTTAAAAACACTTTTCTTCAAATATTTTTGTTAAAAAAGACAGTTAAGTGACGTGACATCAACCGTTGTAGTCTAGTCATCCACGATGACATGTAAGCTGAGAACAATCCTCACAAACTTATAGGACACGTTCTTATATGTTATAAAAAAAGTAGTTTATTTAAGTACGACCTATGCGATCTTTTTGACTATGCTATTTAGAAAAACCAGTCGGTGATTAATTGGCATTGATTGATAACAATAATTCTCAAGTAATCAAAAGCCCTTTCCAAACCATGTAGTTTCACTAAAAACGTTGTATAACGATGATACTTCCACTTCAATACCCATAATAATTATGATTGGAAGGTGTATCAAAAGCCTAATAAATATAAACAATAAATCCTCCAAAAAAGCACTTCCAATAATACAATTCATTTGAATAAAACAGAAAGTTATGGAATCATGCTATATCATTTTGATGCAAGGACTCTTCGCTGTTATTGATTACGTCCCATTTTCTTTTTCTTATAGAATCTTCACAGTGGGATTCATGTACATTTAAACAAAACTATCAAGGTCATTGGAATTTCATCGAGTCAACATCAAACAAAAACTATCCTTCCTCTGAATCACATAAACCTAAATGGGTTAGTCTAATCTTTGGTGAGAACTATCTTATTTTCATGGGTGAAACAAATGAATCTTATTTGTGTATACGAGAAGTACGTGAAGTTATCCAAGACTGGTTTATAATTAGATCAAGAAAACAAGCTAATGGATGGTAAGTCAATTTTATAATATATCATCGCTTTGTCGTCATTGTATACATGTTTATAGGTAATCTATATATCAAAATTTATTATAATGGAAGCACACCATCTAAAGGATTTAGGTTAATCAGTAAACAAATATCCAACCTTACTATTGTTTACCCAGTCAAATCATACAACAAACAATCTGCAACAAAGTTTTCATCAATTGTGGAAACGTTTCGATCTTAGTTTGATTGAAAGATTACTATATTGAAATATGTTTCACTGTATGCAGTATTTAAATTACGATCTACTTTCATCTTTAATGGCGATCACTAGTTGACTTGAATGAGATAATAAACATGGCTAAGTAATATTGATATCAGAAGATACGTTTTATAAATCGTTATAAACTCCCTTACTAATAGGTTTACAACTTCATTTAAGGGAAACAATCACTTATTTAATAATGTAGACACAAAGGTCCAAAGAAATTCATATTTTTTTGAAAATCACACTGAACAATACAAAATACTTGAATTTAGTTTTGAAACTATTCAAGTACCTCTAAGTGTTCTGAACTAATGTGATAGCTCAAAATGTCTCTAATATATTCATAATCGTACAATTGCATTAAAATAAAAACTCAGTACATTTGTAAATTAGCTAATTCACTAAAATAATATTTTCATGGTTTTCTATTGTAACACAAATATTTCAACTTTCAAATGATTAATTAGTATAAAGTAGAGGGTAATTGTATAAATAACTGTGGCGAATTTAGTCGACTTAGTTTTATATTTCAATAATATGCAATGTTGTTCATCTAAAAAGAAGTGGTAATATTGTGGTGTGTGCTACTTAGATTGACATAAGTAGTATATGATGTTAGTCGTGAACAGGTCTGACAACATAGAGACAAGAGGATCGAACAGTAAAGAATAAAAACAGAATACAATTCGTATGAAAATACAAGAACAATGAAGTTTGAGTCATTTTGAGACAATTGGTGGACATTTTGCAAATTAAGCACTTACTTTATGATTGTTAGATTTTATTAACAAGTCCTGTAATTTTGTATCAAATATATTCGATTGTTCCTACTGGTGTTCTGTTCACTATATGACTGAAATTATTTAAGGTACATGATAAATTTTCGTAATTAACTCAATCAACTATGACAAATAATAAAGCAAAAAGTGTACTTACTAGCATATGAAAAATAAATTCACCTGTTCATCTTGAATTCACATTTTTTGGGTCCATTTTGAGGTTAGTTGTTGATCTTCGGCTAAATAATTATTTTGTTGTACATGATGAAGACGCAAAAATGTATTTTCATGTAATTACTCATTACAGTAATAAAACAAAAGGCATTTTATTATATTTTGTTTATTTTTCTTCCGAACCTGATGTAACTCAATTGTAAGACTGACCCGATTGCGATCTTAAAGTGATCTCATGATTTAAAAACCAATTCTTAGCCAATAAAGAGAAATTCTATGACGCAATTGACAATATTTTACCAAGGAATGAATAAGACTTGTAAGAGTATAGTGGTTTTCGAAAGCTCATTAGTTTTTCAATGCTTATTATGAATTATCTTATCCTAATATTAGAAATCTTTAGCTATGAAGTCTTATTTAACATTGTGAATTCCTTTTATGATCACAAATACAACATTGCTGGACACTTAAAAAACGGTTATTTATAAAAATCAGTGGACGTCAGGGAAAATCTGAGTTTTGAAAGAAAGATATGAGAAAGTTGAGGATATAAAAATTGATCCACTTCAGCACTCCTACGCCATATTTAAGTCTATCATTCACTAAGTTGGGAATAAAGTGGTTAGTTTGATTGTTTATATTGTGCAACAAATATCTGAATAGAATGTTATCGATCTACAAGAGGACCAAATGATTGCTATGTTCCTCCATACCAGTCAACATAAAAGATGTTCTTATCAATCATGAGCATTCTAAACAGGATACTAAAATATTTTTACGAGGTTTTTCATATGACGTGAGATAAAAGCCGTTTTTCTTTTAAAAATGTCATATAGAAACCTGAAAATCTTTCTCGTTAGATTGATTGTCTCGAACATATTCCACAGTTATGCATGAAATGTTTGATGTTAGTAAATGTATACTTTTATTTAATTTTAATCAACTTTTACTGGCAAATATTTCCCAATAGTAATTGAACCTGTTAACTTACTATAAATAATCACAGAATAAAAGTAGTATGGAATTTAATTCATTAGATTTAAAGCAAAGCATTGTGTGTTTTTTTTAAAAAAGAAGAATCAGTCAATCAATCACTTAGAAGAAGAAGAAGTTAGTATCAAATAGTGATTTTTAAGGAAATAAAACAAGCTCAAACTTCAAACCGGCTTGAAATTTCATGATAGACAGCCATCACTATATCCATCAATTAATATTAAACTTTAAAAGTTTTATTTTTTCCATTGGTCTTATAGGATTGTTTTTTCTATTATCGTTATAAATAACGTTACAACAAATGATCAATTCAAAGTGTTGTGATAATAATTAAAGTAACCACTTTAGTAATTAATAGTTAGGATAACTAGATGTGACCTCATTCTGTACTTGTCCAAATATGTTGAATATTTATTCAACAAAAAAAATAATAGAGAATAAAACAGAAATCTCTAATGATTATATGATTGAAAATTTGATAGAACAAAGACTCAATTCTTAATTGTTATCATTTATTTAATGATGGTTTATAATGATTCCCACAACAGATTGACATAATCATATCATTCAATTTAAAATATTATTTATGTCATTTCATGGTTTTTTCTGTATACAATTTATCTTGATTCAATCATAATACTTATAAATCATTGAATCATATACAACCTAATTGTTTTATATAATGTTAAGCAAATCATGTTAAACCAGTTCTGATATCTGCTTTTAAATATCTATGTGTCATTATTAACACCATCAAGATAACTCAAACAGTAATAGATAACTTCACGTAGACATGTATATAAACACTGTGTATGTTTATCTTGTTTGCGTACAAAAAGGAAGTGAAAGTTTTGACAAGAAACCTGTTAACTCATCACTTTTATGTTGTAAATTATTTATTGTTGTGTTATTTTTTTTTTAAATAAAAGAGAAACAACTAACATTCTTCTTTATTCTTGTCTAAACCTGGACTTAATACGTTTCTCAACAAAAACGAATACTTTTGAATGTAGAATAAAGAAAATCAATTAAATAGTCTTATATAAACGAAAAAATGATAGTAACTAAGCAGTGATTGTCAATAGGGAAATATTTTAACTGAAGTTTATTGAATTATTATCTGTATTTTATTTTTCTTTAAATTATTTCACTAAAATTTGTTCAGTTATCATCATCATTACAAATCATACGTTGATGTAATTACACATGATAAATGTTCAGATCATTATACCGTTGATAGACCATTTATCAAAGAATAATTATAAATATACCATAAATCATTATTTTTCTGATTAAAATGTCTTCATATCTGATTTTTCCTTTTAAACTAGTCATATATGTGACTATCTCGTCATATTAGGTTACTTGTTCGTGTTTAATGACAACAATGATAGGCAATCCAATATGATTATTACCTGGGAGTGACTTTCATCGATATCTCATCTCATATGAAATAATATTGAATAACAGGAAGCCCTGGGCGGCTATTTCTTGTTAAATTTATACTGACAACTTTACCTGTTCAAGTAAATTTTTAAAAATAGACAAACGATAAGCGATAAGATATGTCGTTTCATTTCTACTTTCACAATTGAGTTTCTCTTCTTTTTTAATGAATAAAACAAAATTTGTTTTATTTTACTAGTCAACCAAGGGATATGTGTCTAGAGTTATTTCAAAGTGGCATTCGCCGTTCACTTGATTTGCATAACACCAACGCAATGGAATTTCGATTATGTAAGTTTATTTAATCATTATGTTCTTTTTCCTAAATGTAGTTTAAAAATAGCTCAGTAAGAAAAATTAGACTTAAAATTGTTGACACCATTTTTCAAGTCAGCTAAAAATGTTACTATTATGAAATACCTTTTGTTGTTTTCTCAGTACTCAAAAGTTAACTGCGGTACAATTCGTACAAAATAATGAAGCCGCGAAGTTACATGTTTGAAATTAAATTTACGAAAAAAATAAGTATCTTATTTGAATAATTGCTGATTGGTAAATAAATCTAAGACGGACCATTAAACCTTTTCAACTAACGACTAGTCCGTATGGGTAAAGTTAGTTTTTATCAAGGACTCACTTCTCCTAAAGAGCTACTGGATATCAGAGATTAGTTGACGGCTGTTCTGGTTAGCCTTATAACTTTTTACCATTTTTCTATCCACGATTGCTCTAATATTAGAACCAATAACCTTAATATATTAACTTAACACCAGCGGTTCGTAACCAAATAGTACATATTTCAGTAGTTTCGTAGCTGTCACTAATGATATCTACAAGTTGAACAAATTATACAGATCATGTACTTTAATGCTAATCTGTAAACTTCTGTTCAACTATCCTTTCTACTGGTTGTTTCAGATACACCTATATTATCTTATATGATGCCTATATATAATTCTAACTATTTGAAATCAATTGGGTTGAAACAAATAAAATATGATATCTCAGTTGCTCGTATTCTTCAAAAATAGTTATAACAAGTCCTTATAATTCATGTAAGGTCATAAATATACTTGATTGAAAGAGACTGATACCAACAAATATGAACGGTATGTTCTTTGCTAAAACTCAACCATAAGCTAAACATTTATATGACTTTTAGACGTCATAATATATTTTATTTTAGAAATTATAATTCTGAAAATTTAGTATTCTACTTTACAGTCCGCTGAAATTTCATATATCTAAAACACTACTAAGACCTATTTCTAGTATAAGGTAGTAACAGTTATTTTGTTTAGTACTATGAGACTCCACACAGTAGGATATTTGCAGCATAAAATAACCCAGTTTGTTCTTTAACATTTTAACTACTAAATTTCAAATGTTAACAAACGTCGTTCGCAAAGTTGTTTTAATAACAGTGATCAAACGAGCGTAAGTCGTTGATCGAAAAGTTTTTGAGTTGGCTTCCTCATATAATTTTTTAAGACGTCTAAATGAATTAGGTAACTTGCTTCATATTCATAAATTCTGATTCTTTTGTTTATTTCTACCGAAAAAATTTATTACTACACCGAAGAAACTAAGGATTTATTCAATTACTTCACATATATATCAGTCATTCGTTTTGTCATGTACCATTCTACATTTAATTTCTTTGTACTGTTAAAATTCAAATTAATTTTCTTTCTAAAACAATGGACAATAACATGAACAACATCCAGCAAGTTCCTATCAACCCTAGAATAAAGAACATAAATATTCAGCTAAAACGTTTCCATTAATTCCAGTACACATGTTCCCATTGTCTGTCTTTTTTTAAAGCTCAAAGTAAAAAATATGGATCAAATGTTAAAACATTGTGCAGTTTTGAATCTCAGTCATTCAGTTTAAATAACAAAGCAAAAGAATCATCTACGGCACTCATATTAGTCAGAAATATTGAACCATTTCGTAAGTTATGACAATTTTTTAAAATTATAAATTATCAAATTTAAACCCCCTTATTAAATTGTAGTGCTCTACAGAAAGCATATTCTATTCTTCGTTTTCCAATAGTTCGTATAATAGTTATCGCGATAGCCACAAACCATATATAATTTTCAAAAGGTGAAACATAATAGTAGCAATTATTTACATCTGACACATATAACTCAAATGATGTGACGAGCAAGCAAGAAAAAAAGGGGATAATCAATTAATCACTTGTTGCTATGATAGCATATAAGTGGATTATTGAATATCAAAATAACACTTTCTGTATATAAGCTACTATAGGAGGTTGAGTCAGTTTGAACATGTACAAGCTAATATATAGGTAAGAACATCAAAAATGGAATTGAGAACTAATAACACTTTCGTTATGATCAGTATAACTGTCAGTGGAATAAACGAACACATATTTTATATCGATTCTTTCACACAATTTTAAAATATCCAATACTCTTTTCCAGACATTCATTCAAGTTTTCTAATTCAAATATAACTGACGTTCTCAAACATTTAAAATAACTAAACGATTTCAGAAATAAATACTCTCATACAGGCAAAGTCTAGTTTCATTGAGAAAAAAAATGTTTGTTCTTTACTACATATAATTTAAATACAAAATAAAACCGACTAGTTAAAAGACTTTCATAAGACTGTTGTGTTTCATCAATGGCTTATTAATAGAAATATTAAACAAGCCAGATATCAGTACTAGTCAACATAATTCAATTATTATTAGAAAAACGCCTATTTTATTTAATGTTATATGTGGTCTAAATATAGATAAAATCATATATGTGAGATTATTTTATTACTCAGAATTTTAGATTAAACTATATTCTGTCAACTTAAATTACTTTTATCATACCTCAGAAATGTCAAATCCATACAATGATCCTCCTGTAAAATGTGGATTATATCAAATGCGACTTGTTGGAACAATGAATATAAATGCTGATTATTTAATAAACAAATGGAAATTAACTGGAATTATTCCATCAGACAAAATACATCATGAACAGTTTCAAATACTTAACAGTAATAAATCTCAATATATTCAATCTGTAAATATGCATCATGATCAGTTATCTACAAAAATGAAATATGATTATTTAGGATATAGAATAAATCGTTATAAAAAGTCGCCATCATATAATTTAGTCAAAAATACAGAGTTTATGTATACTAATCCTTTGATTCATAGTAAAATCACGAAGACGTTTATTTCATGCCATATCGAACTAAGTGACTTTAATAGAACTCATGGTTCGACAGGAGAATTTGGAAATAGAATTTGGATTCATAATGATTGTCTATATCAGCAAATTCAAAGTTCCTTTAATACAAGTGAGTTATTACGTTCTTATACAAAATAATAGCTTGTTTTTTAAATGGTGGAGTTAGAATTGGTTACATTTCTACATTATAATCAAATGCAAACAGTGTCAATTTATTTTGTTACTATATAATTACTGAATAAAACAAGCATGTTTTTTTTATTACTTACGTCCGTTTTAATTGGAATAATTACGATTGTTTTACTTTTACTATCTTTCATTAGGAAGATAACTAATGCGAGAGATGGTCTCCGTTTCAATCAAACCAATTATGTTGATTGACTCATGATCTCAACTACTAAGAAATTTTAGAAAATTACTATCATATCCACTAAACCCCTTCTGATACTAATCAACATATGTTTATTAGTAACTTGCTTCAAGAGGTATTTCATGGAGTTCTAGTCAGAAGCAGTGAGCAGTGGAGTTCAACCGAGTCTGTTGTGAGATAATAACTCACTGATGACAATGGTAGATGTGTCGCTCAATTTCGTGGATTACTTAAAGTTAAACATTGGCACCACTGGATGCCGGCTCAGTGGTCTAGAAGTTAAACGTTCGCGCGCGAGACTTATACGTCCTGGGTTCGCATCTAGCGGGCCGGAATCGTGGATGCGCACTGTTGAAGAGTCCCACACTAGGATGAAATGGCCGTTCAGGGCTTCCAGGTTTTCCACGGTAGTCTAGCTACAATTGACTCATGATTTCAATTATTAAAATTCCTATAATATCCACAAAACTCCTTCTGATAATTATGTTTACTTAATCACTAAAGAGACTTATTACTCACCATATTTCAGTGATTAGAAATAGATATTCTAAGGTAAATTAATCTACTCATGAGTTTTTATAAAAGCTTTTACTTATAGAGTTTCACACTACTATACAAAAGAATACATGATTTATAATTAATTACATCTGATAATTTGTTTTTGAATTTCACCTATTGACTATTGTTGTTAAAACATACTTTAAATGTCTATTTTTGACAGTTGACAACTTAAATGACCTATGTAACAAGTTTATTAACATTGAATGTGTTTCTTGTGTTTAACATTCACAGTGTTAGCTCCTGATCTAAGTTCAAGGGATTTTTTGTCATAACATACTTAAACTTATGTACGAAAGTTATAATTTAGCAAAGCTACTGTACGATAGTGTAGTGTGTCCATTTTTGGAAATCAAAGTATTCATACAATAAACTGTGTTTAACGTTGAAAGAAACTACTTATGCGGCGAGACTCTAATTTAAGGACGACCTTTGAACGAATCTTAAGTGACCTTGACAATTATTAGCCAATCAGAAGAAAGTTAGTATAAAGTGAAAATATATTATATGAAAGTAATGAATTACAGTGGATATTCTTCTTTTACATGATTTAAAAACTTGTTAAGGTTCGATTAAAGTTCAGAGGTTCTGAATTCACGATGCATATGGAATAGAAACTCGTCTATTGGGTTAGAGTTAGGTTTACGGGTAAGGTTAGGGCTAGTTGAGGGTTAAGTTTTATGGTTAGGTGAGGGTTTAGGATTAAGGTTAGAGTTTAGGGTTAATTGAGGGTTTAGGGTTAAGGTTAGGGGTTAGGGTTAGTTAGGGTTGTGGTTAGGTGAGGGTTTAGGGTTAAGGTTAGGGTTTAGGGTTAGGGTTAGGTGAGGGTTTAGGGTTAGAGTTAGTTGAGGGTTAAGGGTTAGGGTTAGGTGAGGGTTTAGGGTTAGAGTTAGGTGAGGGTTAAGGTTAGGGTTAGGATGCTAACATACGACTTTTTAAATCATGTCAAAGAAGAATATCCACTGTAATTTATTACTTTTTTTAAATATATTTTTACTTTATGCTGTCTTCTGATTGACTAATAATTGAAATTGCTCAAACGCTTCTGATTGGCTCGTCCCTAAATTAGAGTCTCGCCACTTATGCTAGTCATTGTTAGTCCACCAGTTGAATGTAAGTAGTTCATCAAGTGTTTTAGATTATAGATAGATTTCATATACTTATCGATCAAGAGGTGAAATCGAGTACTTCATACAGCAGGATGAATTTTCATTGGAATAATACATCAAGTTAATTTGAATAATGCTTTTAAAGTTATTCACCGTATTCCATTAAATTTACGGTAACATTGACGCGCTCATCTTTTGTATTATTGTGGAGCTATCTGGATCCACATTTAAGAAACTTAGTCTCTCTGCCAAAGAAGAGTTTGAATAACTCTTGTCTCTATTTTGATGACTGATAGACGATATCCCAACGTTTTTAAAAAGTTTTCTAAAGTTCGCTTAATCTCGTGCTGTTACATAACTTTAAGAATCATTTTTTTCCTACGTAACTACCGTTAGCTCGACTTGTTGTAAAAATATTTGACTAGTCCTGTCACTAGATTTAATGTATACTCCTAACCATCAATCTCAACGCCTTCAATATTTACAAATAATTACATAACTGTTATAATTACTTTATCTTTCAATTACTTAGTTAATCATTCAACACTATTTTAATGATCATCTATGAAATTTTTGTATAATTATGTAACGCTAATGCTAGATTAACTATTGTGCTAATTATTATTGCCACTATAATGAACCATATAAGTATTAGTGTAGAGTCATGAACAAAAACTGCTGAAATAGAAGTAATTCTGCGTATTATTTTTCCTTTTGTTAAATGTATGAATAAGAATTTTTACCTTACATAAAATATTATGACATATTAATGCTTTCTCTAACTTTAATATACGTTCAAATTGTGATTATTCAGAAACATAATTTTCAATGTCTTCCAGTGGTCAGTTTCTGCCACTTATATTCATTTGTTACGATTTTCTTTCAGTTCAGTTGAAACATATATATGATGAGTGAATTCTACTGTACCTTTCCCTTGTTACTCCAAAGGACAGATAACTGCAATGTTTCCGATTTCATTTTCTAGTATGTATCATTTCAATAATTTCCATGTCTTTAAAGGGAGTAGTCCCATAGTAGGACGAAATGGCCATCCAGTGCTTCCAGGTTTTCCATGGTGGTCTAGCTTCAACTGACTCATGAATTTTAACGATAATAACCTGAATAAGTTAATTTTACATAATAAATAAGCATTCGTTACATTTGTAAGTTCATTTTTTTCAGTATATATGACTGGTTAGTTTATGTAAGATAAATATGATACATTAAGAACTGATTATGCACGTTCAAACACAATATATACACATATGTATAATGATGAAACACAATAGGTTAAGTGAAAAATTTTTATTTAGGTTTAAAAAAAACAATATAAAATAACATTATGGTCAAGTACGTCACCAAAAAATCCCCAATTATGGAAATACTGACTGTATTTCTTTCTATTTAGTTGGTCTGGTACACAGTTACCAATTTTTTACAGACGCTCAGTTGTTTTATAACCATAAACATTTGATAATTTACATAAGTTATTTATATTATGTTTAAAGAAGTTTACCTAAAGCTGTTTTAAACATCGTTGTCAATATATTCATTACGTAATTGGAAAATTTAAAGATGTAAATAAAGAAAATAATAAACAGAATATTTTGTAGAAAATGTACCTTTTTTCAGTCGGTTAATCACTTCAAACGTTTCTAATAAGTTATATCCATGACAAAATGATAGAAAAAGGCAAATATTTATGTTACATGACGTTTCATTAGCTATATTCAATATTATATTTCTGGGAAAATATAGAATTCTCAGTACAAATTATTTCAACAAGTTTCCATTTCTTACTCCTTGGTCGATCCTGACAACAAGTATTGAGTGATTGTCAGCTAGAAGTTAGCAGTTCAGCTAATCGACATCTACATAATGTACATTCTTTTCGCTGCATGTTGTCAGCAACCACGACGTCTCTGATTGGGCTTTTTTTGTAACTTGGACAGAGGAAGGTTGCAAACTTTTCATAAACGCATCTTAATAGGTTGTTCGATTAATAAACATAATGATGTGTTAAAACAATCAAAAACAGATAACTTGTTGAAATATCTAGAGGGCAGAAATAGGTAGCCCAGTTGTTTAAGGAGACCGCCAATTATACAATAGTACATAGAACTGGTCAACTAAAATTGTTTTATTATCCAATGTACAGTAGGAAAACATGAAATTATAACACTTGTAAACTAATTATAGGACTATGTACTAAATTTATATAATAATACAAGATATTTAATTATTAATGAGTAAATCGAATGAAACTTTACTTAATTATTGGCAAAGATATCATCTGAATAGTCTATTTTGATTTTGTTAGTACTGATTAAGATTTGTTACTAATAATATCTCCTCAGGATTACAATTATTCTCTTATGATCATATTGTTGTTAGCCTGGTAACTACGTGCAATAATATCCTTGATAGATGTGAAGGTTTATCTTTTTTACATTTAAACCATTTTATGAAATATATAAACGAAATCGTAATTTCAATATAAGAAAATTGAATAACTGAATTCATGAGTCAATTGAAGCTAGACCACCCTGGAAAACCTGGAAGCATTGGATGGCCTACATGAGGTGTAAAGGTTAAGCGATCGCGCGCGAGACTAATGGGTCCTGGGTTCGAATCCCGCCAAGCAGGATCATGGGTGCGCACCGCTGAGGAGTCCCATACTAGGATGAAACGATCGTCTAGTGCTTCCAAGTTGCTACTAATAAAGATCAATAAGGATAGGGCATATAAATATGCATGTACTGTCACGTATTCATTTAACATAATTGCAGAAAACAAAGAATATATCACAAATTACTATTTCAATTTTTAATGTTTGGAATTATTTCGCTGTTGAAATTTCTGATTGGATTCTGATTAGTCTTAGTTGGCATATGTACATCCTAGGTGGATTGCTTCGATTTGGCGATTATATCACGTTTTTATATAATCAATGAGTTGGGGATAGCAGTGAAGTTCTAGGCATGTGTTTCATCTTGTTTGAAATTCGTTAGCTGAATTTATAGCAGACTTGAACTCAGTGCTCTTCATCACAGACCCCCAACGATTTGTCCAGCCAGCTAGAGTCCAGACAGCTGCTAGCTTGTGTAGAGGGTATGAATTTTAATTTAGTTCATAAAGGTTTTGATTATCCTCTTATTGATAATTTTATTTGAATTTTGATCAGTTTAAATGACATACAGTTATACAAAAAGTTGTAAGTGACCGGCATTATCTGTCAGTGTTATTTTGTATATATACGATAAATGTAACCGTAGCTTCATATAAAGTTTTAGAAAGTAATCAGATTAATGAAATTCTGGCGATTACTTAGGGGTCATATTCATGTTATACAAATGGTTTGCTGTTTTGTTTCATTTCATGAGTCTAACCGTCTTTTTTTATGTTACATTCTACAGAGCCCATTATCAACTGAGTTAAATGGTTTATTTGTTATTCTTTACTCCTTTATTTTTGTCTTGGAGGTTTAAAGGTTTGATTGATACGAAAAGTTGTTCAATAATTTGATAAATCACTTATTTTTAGAAAAAACGAAGCTTGATAACAGATACATCCTACTGTATGATACAATGAATAATTGTACTACTTTCATAAAATAAACAAATCATTCTTAATTTATTTCTTTCATTATTTTAATCAATAGGTCATGTATGCCTATCAGCGTATAATATCATACCAGTTGGATTTAATGACAAGAGACAATTAATCTTGATAACTTATCATATTATAACGAAAACATACTATTGTTGGGTAATTTCTAATTAAATATAGCATGAATTTTATTCTGATAGATATTTAAAGAAATTAAACAGAATAATATTCAAAGGTATTTAGTTTTTCTATTCGATACACCACAATGTCAATATCATCGACTTCCTTCAGGTGATATACAAATCAATGAAGAAGAAGCGATAGCTCATATCAGTTTAACATCAGGTAAGAAAATAAGTATTTGGGACTTTTGTTTAGTTAACTAATCAGTTGGTTTTAGAAATTGAAGAAGAATAATAATTTATTTACTAGTTGAAATTATTTTTTATTAATAACTCATTACGCTTGAAGAAACAATGTACATGACACTGAGCTGTTGACTTATCGTAGTTTATAAACAATCATTAATACTCAAACCTCAGAGTTTTGTTTTTGTAAACCCTACTTCTTAGATCAGTTTTCTGGTTTCTATATTGCATTTTGACAATTTTCTATTCGATCAGAAGGAATTTTCAAAAAACATAGTTGATCTGTTTCTAATTGAAATCCAAGAGTTTTTGAGTTGTCTTTGTTTTATACAAATGTTTCACTTAATGTAGTCACTATGCCATGATTATTATCTTCCAACTGACAGCGTAATAATTCTCGGTTAATACTTAGCCTTATGTAAGTATTTTCATAAGAATATGGTTACATGTTGCAAACTTGTAGCTTTTAAATCCTATTGAACTATATTCTACTGTAACTGTGTATATTGTTTTATTGTTCATATCCATTAAACTTATAAGTTTTCAAATGTATACTAACAGAAAGAATTCAACGATTGATTAGTTAGTTGATTTGTTAATATCACTAGTTATTTATCGAATGGCATAACCAACTTGATGCATTAATATTATGAAATACAGGTATATATACAATTGAAAATGTCATATATTTTGATTTAGAAACATTAGCCAAAGCTTCGTTTACATTATTCTTAGTTTTAGATTCAATTTTTCTTTTAAGCTTTGTTTTCTTTTACACAAATCATAATTAAGAACATTATTTACTACTTATAAACGCTGACTATTTAGACTTTATTTACAATTAAATAAACACCTTGTAAGAATTTCATCTTTCAACCCTTTCAAAAAACACTGAAAAAACATGAAAATTTGATTATTAAGTGGTTTAATGTAAATATCTTTCTTGTGTAAACGACAAATTTTCGATAAGTTTCCCCGTTTTGATGTATTCAAACTCTTTCGATAACATAAACTATCAACATAACTATAAGAAGGGATGGATGGTGGATAGCAATGGGACTCGTCAGCCGGGTTTCTTTGCATCCCAGAATGGATGTTCACTCTGAAACTCGAACCAAGCACAGTTCACTTCAAACAATGTCGTGTTACTCACTTAGCTGATACGTACAACTGTCGAGTGCTGAACTCTACTGCTAGCCACTATTCATCCCTGCTTGTAATGAATATGACTTAAGACAATATCGAAGCAATCCGCACAGAATGTACATATGCCAATAAGAGACTAATCAATTGCAATCCTTAACATCAATGAAAAGAATCAAATAACCAAAATAAAAACACATTATCAATATAAATGTTTTCAATGAATAATTCAATGATCTAAATCACAATTTAATTCTTAATCTTCTTTTTTTTATCAGCTACTTGTATTAATTGCGCATTTAAATCTGATCAAAATTCTAAAGAATATTCTCATAGTAAAAATTTAAAAAGACCTAATGTTCTACGTATTCAAACGAATCAATTAAAACAACAACGTCAATCACAACGTGCTCTACGTCAAAGTATACAATTCAATTTGAAAAATATTAATTGGAGAAATCAAATAGATTTATGTACATTTCAAATATTGATTTGTTTATCATTTATGATTTATTTTGTAAATACATTTATTTATTTATAATATTAAACAAGAAATAAATAGTTAGTTGCTATGTATAAATAGAAAAAATTTTTAGTTACCTACTATTAATATTTTTTATTATTCTTAATTTTGGATACAAATAATTTTAAAAAAAGACACAAACACACACATACACACATTTTTATTGTCTTACATATTTTTTTTTCTTGATTAAAGTGTTCAGTGAAATATGATGAATCAGTAATACTTTGACAAATAAACATAAATAATTATGCAACAGAATGATTGTTTATTTAAGGAGAGTTTAAATAATTTCATGAAGGAATTTTCAAATTATAAACATGAAAGAATACTGATTGATTACTATTATACAATGATACAATGTAGCTGAGTAATCGCTATTCGCGTGACTGAGGACTTCATAGATGAGATTAATATATTCCAGTGTATTTTCACTCAAGAAGTATGTTATCGGCAATTCTATTTTATGTAACATTGTTTATATATTAACTTCTGAACTTTGAATGTATAAATAACATGTTGACTGAATAAGTTATTAATTGGATTCTTTGTTTGTTTTGTTAACGTCATTTAATGTAAAAGAAATAATAAAGGTTTTATTGAGGGGTACTTTGTAACTGAAAAACAAAGCCTAGAGATTGCATGGTCATGATTGACTTTTTAATGTAAACTGTTTACTATTCAAAAACTGATATTGAGACTAAATAACTACTCACTTTGTCTACTGTAGTTAAATAAATAACAGATGATAATAAAAGATGAATAAATCAATATAACTAAGAATTATAAATGAAGGGTAAAAGAAGTTCGATTAGAATGACAATTAAAATCTAAAAAACTGTGAAAGAAGTTTACAGTATCAATGAAGAAAAAACTTTATTCCTTATGATTTTATTATAGTCCTTGACTGGATGAAAAGGTCTATCATATATACTATAGTCATTCAATCCTATTGCAAATCTGTATAAAAACCTGGCCATCTAGGTTAAACTGTTGTAATCTGTTTTTCATCATAAATCATGAACACCATATCATCTCCTTATTGAATGTCATTAAGCAATACAATTCAAGATAAAGTGTCTGATATTACAAGCATGAATTAGGCCTGACGACTAGTTATTAATTGGTTGGAGAATGAGTTACTTACAAACTGATTTCCTACAAACATCAATGCCATTTTCTGTTAACATAATGTCATTCTATAACACATGAAAGCCCTATTCTTCAGGCTTGTGGTCGCGTCACTGATCTTAAATCATTTAGAGGGTTACGTCAATAACTCAGTCACGTGAGTAGCGATTACTAGGCTACATCATATCATTGTATAACAGTTATCAATCAGTATTCTTCCATTTTCATAATTAGAAATTCCTTCATGAAATTATTAAAACTCTCCCTTATAATAATATCAGATAGATGAACTGGTCAATTGTTACCTCATTTTCATCGTAAATTTTACTATCCGGGATACACGAACCTGGTTATAGTAACCAATACATTTAAGGTGAAATAATTACATTTAAATGCAGATTTGTGAGGACTGAATAGAAATTGAATAGAACATTCAACCTAAATAAGATTGTCATACGAGTAGAGCTATACATGGAAACCATTAACGAAAGAACAGACTTTAGTGTCAAAGATACAATCAGTCTGTTATGCTAGTTAATTTTGTGTTTTCTGAAGTTTTAAACTGTTTTACGATCATGCAAAATGACGGAAGCTGATAGTTAACACTAAGACCGAAGGCATTTAAACTGATATAGTAACAAACAAAATTCACATTAGGCAACGACTCCTTTCCCAATATCTTAGATCTTACTGAGAAGTAAATACAACAGAATACAACACCCGATTTATAGTAAAAAACGATTGATTTCGTAACAGAAATACAAACCTGTTTACATTTTTAAAACGCTCAAAATTATAACAAAAAACGATTTGGTGATTTACGCACAAAAAAACTACCACAGTGAGCATTTAGATACTACATTGGTATAATAAAAGCATTTCAAATCAACAAAGCTTCACCTTACTAGACAATCGACAAATCCGTTATATAGCTACTCATCTACGTGCCATCAAAAATCAACTTATTTCATGGGATAGCCTCGATATTGAATATTCGCTACTTTATTTTTGTAGTGAAACCATAATCCACCAAGTAGCTTAACATGGCAATATCCACCGATCGTTTATTCACCAAACTGCCTAACTTTAGTCTACAACATCAAGCGGCACCCACAAACTACATTCAAAATAGACTCAGTAACTAAATTCTGCAAATATACAACTATGAGGACTTCAAGTTTTAAATAAGTTCGCCGACACTGAATTATGTACCAGAAAAAGGGTTATTTTTAAGTTCTGACAACCCATGTATATTTCTTGACGCTCAACTTCATAATACGTACGTATTAAGGTGTGTACATAATTCTTTACGTGTTCATTTCACTTATCTGTCTAAACATCAACTGCAAACTAAATACAAACATGGCTGACAGTCACTTATGCGCACATTTGCATAGTAGAAACTAATTGATTCACTTTCTCTTACTCTGTCGCTTACGAACCATGTATTTAAAATCTATTGTCACATTTACTTTTTTCAATTTCTGGATCATATACAATGTTAAAAGTTATACCAACAGAAAAGTGGACAACGGATGAAGGAAGGGAAAAATAAGCATGCTGTTAGTTGTCACTTTCAAATAACTAGTCAGATAAGGACATGTAAAATGATCCAGTAGCAAGATTTATGAATATGTAAATTATGTTGAAATTAGTTTTAAAAACTCTCTATTATCTTATAACGAGTGCATTCATTGTCCAAATGAAAAAAACACTATGAAGTGCAGTAATTAATTAATTATTATTATTATTATTATTATATTATATATTATCATATTATTATATTATTTTACAACTAGAAATATAGCAATTTTAAGTGTCCGTAGACATCTCCACGCTGGAGCAAATAAAGTAAAACTTCCATCTTATCTCACACATTTGTGGTTAAATATAAAATAGTTGCTCACTTGAAGATCTAAACTGCTTTTCAGAATTCTCACTCAAAAACAAAGGAAACATATTTGGCTACTTATGAGTAGTGTAAATATCTGGATTGAAAAGTTGCCCAAGAAAACATTCAACATGAGTGTTAACGCATCGGAAGCACAACGTAATCTTGGGTAGATCAACCAAGTTTATGGCGTTTATTATCCTGTTTCTTGGAACAGGAAAGGTCAATTTATCGACTTAGAATACGCAGATGATATAGTCCTGTTTGGTGAAGACGCTGATAAAATGCAGATTCTTTTGGTAGCACTGGGCAACAATGCCAGAATGTTTGGAATGCGCTTCTCTCCCTCTAAATGCAAGCTGCTGCTTCAGGACTGGTCTGCATCAACACCTGAACTAAGGATAGGGAGTGAAGTAGTCGAACGCGTCGACAACGCCACTTATATTGGAAGTCTGACCAGCCATAATGGGTTGGTGTCTGACGAAATCTCAGCACGGATTCGAAAAGCTCGTTTGGCATTTGCCAACTTACGTCACCTTTGGCGAAGGCGAGATATCCGTCCATCAATAAAAGGACGAGTAGACTGCGCGGCAGTCCGTTCTGTTTTAATTTATGGTAGCGAAACATGGCCATTAAGAGTAGAAGACAATCGTAAGCTACTAGTATTTGACCACAGATGCCTTAGAAATATTGCTGGCGTCTGCTGGGATCACCGGGTAAGTAATAGTGAGGTTAGACGCAGGGTATTAGGGAATGATGGTAAATCGGTTCAGGAAGTTGTGAATCTTCATCGACTGATATGGTTGGGCCACGTGTTACGTATGCCTGATCACCGATTACCACGACATGTAATGCTAACCGGTGTCGGGAATGGTTGGAAGAAAGTTAGGGGCGGCCAAACCAAAACGTGGCATCAGTACTTGAAGTCACTAACTTCTAGTCTGAGCCATGTTGGTAGATGCAGACTACTTGGTCGGGGTCCACGTGACTATCGTAACCAATGGTCAGAGACTCTTGGTGACATGGCTCAGAATCGATCACAATGGCGTAGGTGTATACACTCTGTCTTCTCTTAAACTAAGAGATTAAAATCGTTTCATATCTTTCTTTCTACGAACTAATTCTTTCCTCCTGTACTATGTCGTGATATGCAATCTTTCTTTTATATATTACCACCATTGAATTAACTACTTTTATGAATCCGGTGTCCATCCTGTTGTGTTAATAAGGTATGGCAACCTGGACCGATGCATATATGTGCCTGGTCCTACGTTGCAGCTGACTGACTGACTGATAACCAGTCCGATAAACTTAAAGAAAATTCTATGTACAAAACGAGTTCCTAGAATTTGTAACATGATCAAACTCACTAACCACGTTCGACATCTTAGAACTGAAGAACGTTAACCATATAAACGTGGAGGTATTAAAAATCGCGGCAATTGTACATATTGATACAGTCTATAACGTATTCATATGAGATAAAAAATCTTTATCGAAAATCTAAGTGACGACTAGGAACTCCATTCATTTTGCAATAACTTTGTGAATCACAGTTTATCACTAAAATAGGTAGATACCATGAACAAAACTCGATAGTTATCCAGCACAAATTAGGACAAATCATCCCTAAAACAAATAGATGGTGACTTATCTTAACGAAATATAAAGGTTACAAAAAAGCACTATAACGATTACCCAAATATTTATACGAAAGAATGTGATGCACGGATATCAAAGAGCAAGATTTACAATAAGTAGATCTTAAAAGAATAATCAAAGTTAATGATTAGAATGACACAGTCAGCAAAGCTGGTAAAGGATAAATTATCATTTATAATAAAAGACAAAGACATAGACAAAATTGGCAAATAGCACACACAATGAAATCAGAAGCCAAGATTCAATGTGTTTCAATGAGTCTATTTGCACTCAACAGTGAAGATAAGTAGAGAAAGGACACTGTCATGAAGACTAATGAATATTGTTCTAGAAACATTAACAGAAGAGTGACTGGGTGTAATTAAAAGGATAAGACTAAAATTTTAAACAAAAAAACGATGCTCTGTAGTCGTTAACACCGCTATTGTGTGTCATTGTTTTGTCTAGGTAAGTCGATAAGTAAATAACAGAAGAAAAAAGAGATGAAGGTAAATGAAATCTTATAGATCACTAACACAAAAAGTAATAAATAAATAATTTTTCTGAGTTAGAGAAAAAAACAAAAGAAATGAGAACATGATTTAATTAGTTAGAAATTCTTGTAACAAAGTTAAACGATGCTTCTCACAAATATCCATTTTATTTTGTAAATCTGCTCGATCTGTTATTTCAGCATGTTCTATTTTCCATGATAAATCTTCTACTTCCGCTTCTAATAAAGCTTGCTGATATTCAAATAACTCTTTACGTTCCAATTTTTCACCATAAAATGCATGAGGATAAGTATACTTTAAAGTATATCGACAATTTCTTAATGTATCTGCAGCAAGTAACAAATATTGCCAATCAATCCATGTACCTTCTTTTTTCAAAACTTTTTCATTAATACGCGTTTGAATACGTGCTCGTTGATCATGTTCTAATCGTAGACTACGTTCATGATTTTCCCACTATCATATAGAATAAACAGTTGAGAAATAAAATCGGAATTGTCAAAAACAAATTAATGAAGGCATTGGTGTCCAGTGAATCGAAATGGAGATTTATGAATACATTTGATTTAAAATGAATGTTATTACATTTCCGGAAATGATCACGACAATAAGTAAAATTTAGATCGATAAGTAAACTAAATTGGAAAGGTCAGTTTTAAAATATTTACTACTGGTTAGTAATTAGTTTAGCTGAAATCGTTTTTATCAGACAACTAATTTACTAATATAGTTAATCTGATTTCAGAAAAAAAAGCAGTCGAGTATGATCAACGATTTACGATTACTTTCAAAACGACTACATTATAACTTATGAGTGGCAGATAGGAAGTTATTTAATGAAAAAGAATCTTACGAGAAATATCAGTTGTTTAAAATTCTAGATATACATGCTACAGAATGCTAATTAGCACAAAATCTAAGAGCTACTGGTTTCTTGCTTCCTGCTAAATAAGATTAAAATCACGAAATAATATATGACAGGAACAATGATAATTAGCTGAACCTGACATGAGAAGCAGCATATTACTACTTCGTACGTATATACGCTTCGATTAGGCTTAACACACTCCTAACAACTATCCATTTGACAAATGAGAGCGGGTTCGTGAGAGAACCTTGTTGGAGAGTCCATCTGCCTGATATCTCCTAGGTTACAGTGATTTTTCAGCTGACTTTAGACCTCGATTTTATTCTTTTTGTCATTACTCATAATTATCAAATATCAGTAAAAACCAAGAAAGTTAGTCAAAAACAACGTAGAACCTGCCACATGTGTACGTCGGTTAAAGTTCCCATACCAGATTAGCACAGAGAGAAGAAATTTTCACGCCAAATACCAGAATGGTAGAGGTAGTAACAGTATGAGTAATGATTGAAAAGATTAGGCGTCAAAGATACAATTCAGAAAAATATGAATTAATGAGATTTAAAAAGTATGTGAGAAATCTATAAACTTATGATCTAAGAGAAGACAAAGATTGAGGGCATCTGGGCCATTGAGAACGATTCTGAGCCATGTCAACCGAAGTCTCTAACCATGAAAAATCAAGAACATACCTTACAACAGAGTGACTAAGGTGAACTAGTTGGACTAAACTTTGAAACATGTGATAATCAGGTTAGAAACTATTTTCTAAAATATTGTATAATGACATTTCACCAAAGTGTTAAACAAGTTGCAGAAAGCCAACTAATTAGTTAACCTCCCCTCCTTTAGTTTAAATGGCCATGATTGGAACATCATAGATTAAATAAAGTCAACAACAAGAACTAGTTATCGTGAAATTGATTATTATCAAGAGAATGACTATGGCGATTTCTCAAACTGAATTAACTGAGATGTACCAGGAATTCAGAAATATTTCAAACTGTTTACACACAACAGCGGATATAAACGGAGTAAGATTTTTATGACATTTTCTTAAAGCTTTGGTCTGTTAGAATTTGAAAAACAACATTTCCACTGTTTTTATTATTATCACTACTACTTATACCACTTTCATGCAAATAATGTTAGTATGTAGGGGATGATACTGTGTCAAGCTCACACAGATTATTCTACCCTCTGGACAGATCAATCTATTCATTCTTCGTAAGCCACATTTTTACCCTATCACTTATTCGTTTATCAACCTTGACTACTTTTTATGTAAGCGTGTGTGCACTTCATATCTTACTCACCACATGTTTGTAACTTATTTTTGTCTGACTATATCGATTAACGCTGGATTAAATGAAGTTGGGTCACTCGCATTCATCGCGCGTCATTTCGCTTTGCTTCACTTTCCGATCAACGATTGTACGAAATATACGTATTCAAACCTCATTCTCGTATTTGACTTATCTGATTCCGTTAATCACCAACGCGATTTGAGTTGATGACGATGACATGTGTATTTCGATAGCAATCAGAAACAATCCAATTAGAGTCAGATAATCCAGGGCTACCAAAAGTACAATAGACACATAAATAGATATTGAAAACTATTCAATAAATAAGTACATCTAAGTCGATAATGTTATTTAAAAGTTTTATTTACAGAGACAAACAAACAAATATATTGTACAAGCCTAGATATTAATACAGTTAGTGTATCTAAAATGTACACACAAAAAGGCAACATAAAGGATCTAATTTTTTAAAAAAACTGCACAAACGAACTTACTCGTTCATAATAAAACATATAGCGTTCCAGAGATTCACGTGCACGCGTTCGTACGGATTCTTTTGCAGAATCTGGATTCTCTTGATATTTGCTGCAAAAGTAGTATTCTGCATCGTGTGATTTCCAAACTTTTTAGACATGGAAATGGAAAAAACTTATATTACTACTATGTTAAAGAGAGTTGAGGCGTATATTTTTTACTTATATATGAAAGGGTTTTATAAAATACTCCTCCTTAATACTAAATCCCTTACCATAAAAGTAGTAATTAACAGAAAGCGTATGATGAAGGTTTCTACTTAGTATTTCTTTTTAAGTTTGTGTTGAGGTGATTTATGAATGTAGTGACAAATGTACAGTTAACGGCAGAGATTAAATTAGGCGACACCTCAGCGAAACATTTTTGCCACCATATTGCATCGTACTTGCAAACACGAACAAGACTTTTAGTAATATGACAACGGACACTGCCTCTGCTTGTTGCTTAAAAGTACCAAGCAAACATTCCACTAGAACTATACACTGTACAATGATTTTGTAGATCACACTTTAAATGTTCGCTTATTATATTACAACAGCAAATTATCTATACTCGGTAACGAAAACAGAATTTCTTAAATGGATAGAACATTTCAATTTACTTAAATTCTTGTGGCTTGGTGGGGTACCAAAAGTCCCACAGCTAGAAACAACATATTTTGTCTACCAAAAATGCTTTCCTAAACCCGATAACCTGAATCTTGGGAATAGAAATAACATTATAAATAAGTCAATTATTAAAAGGGATCCAAAACAAAGTGAATTTGGTCCCCTGTCTTTCAAAATTACTACGTTGACTGGCGATACCCGATTCATCTTCAGTACAATGGGAAACAAATTCAACTTGGTAAAAAGACAGCTAAGGTTCTATTGTTCTTCTGTATCATAGTTTAAGGAAAAATGCAGACAAATTATATAGTTTTACATGACAATTTGGATTCTTTTTGTAAAAAAAAAGACGTGTTCTGCATGCCTATTTGTTGAAATTGTGTTTTGAAGTGTTTCTCTTCTACATCTTCTTGTTCTTTCTTTTTATTCAGAATTTGACATACACATAGTCAGACACATTGATCACAGTTTTTGTTATGGAATTTTCCCTCATTCTTGGAAACGAATGAATTCTTAAGAAAAGCTTGAAAACCAGGTTTTCTTAAAAGCTCCCCTTCCTGATGTTCTCTATGTTCGACCAGTTTTATTTTTAAACGAAGTGAGTAACTGTGTAAACTTCTTGAGTCCTATCTTATCGGTGATTTGATCGATACCAAACAATTCCACTTTGACAATATAAGATGTCAACATATTGTTGTATCTGAACAAGGTTTAATTTTACGATCTATTGGAACCCTAAGTTCATGATTTCCAGCTCAACGGTCATGCTGCTATTTGCCACTGACTAGTTGAGAATTTTAACTTGTGTTCTTTCAATAACACTACTAATAGTTATAGTTGAAAGTACCTCAGCTAATGAAAGCAGCTATCTACTCTACCAGATGCCAAGAATTTGTTATAGACCACCCACCCCCTCTTAATAAATAACCAATAGATAACAAGCACTAGGCAGCATACTTAAGTACAATGAATAACAGACATCCTATTGATTGAGATTAAATGATTTACTACCTTATGTACCAAAAAAATTCTCTCTATTCCTTGGTTTCTCATCCGTACAAATTTTTCTTTATTCGTTAACCTTCTCACATTGGTTTATATTTATTTAGTAGCTAAAATTATTATCAATATTATACTTAAGACTTAAGGTTTTCATTAACAAAAATAACTATGAAGCAGCTAGAAATACGTCGCAAATAAACAGGTGACTAACTACCACTTTTGATATCCCCAAAACACAAGTAGCAGAATATGTTCACTCAAAAACATGTAGACTATGAATTCGGTCCCATTAAAGTATACTTTATGAAACTACAACGAAACGATAATACAGTGTATCCTTATTTCCAATTATTCAAGGTAAGATTTCATTTCAACGCGGTAATTAAATTTAGTTCCCTGAAAGGTTCGTAGTTCAGTTTTACCATTCATCATTTACAGTACTAGTGTACGAGGGCACATTGAGGTAATATTAATTTCTGATACTTAACAAATACTATTTAATGCAGTTTGTATTTGTACAACAAAGTACAAAATAAATATATATTACTCACAGTTAAAGGTTATTTGTGTAATCTATTTTCTTTATACTGATGGAAAAATATGAAGTGGTTACAATGGCTTACAGTCAGTCAGGTTGATGTAAAATAATATTCTAATCCACCAGTAACATAACAAAGTAATATCTTGTTTCGTACTATGAATATAACTCGTTTATTAAGTCCAAGTTAATGTATCCGGTGTTGAGTTACACTGTTTGTTTGAGAGATAATGACATTATGCCTGAATCCCCAAACTGAAGTGTTACGAGGTTCGAACTTACAACTTATTGAACAGAAAGTGAGTGCTTTAACCACTAAGCTACAGCCCCTTTTTTGAAATTTGTTATGAATCATTGAGTTAGACGAAAATCATATATGTTCACTGTATATATTAACCCGATGTCCCTTGAAGTTTTATTTACCATAATATCCAGTTAACTGACGTATTTCTTATTCCATAGTTGCCGTATCAATTTTCGTCATATTCACTAGCTAAAAGACTATTTACATAACTCCCATGTTTTAAAAGCTTTTTTCCTGATTTCGTTACATTAACTTACAAAAGAAAGTTTCAATGTTTGTCAGTAAACAATGTGGGGTCTGATGAATTATTTCTATTTACTATAGTCATCAATACCAAGTTGAAATAGACTAAAGAATTCATAGATTCATAGAAAAAAAAGTATAAAAAAGAGATGGTTGTCATTCTGAAATTATACAAGAAATCAGTTGAACAATGATGAAGCGTATCAATTAGACGTGAGTGAGTACAAGCTAAATAAGTATGGTGTTCTTAATAGCCTGTTTTAAAATAATTCTGATTAAATATTTCTAGTGTCTGGAAAGCGCACACACACATCGCAATACATATAACGGTAATAAATCACATGAATGGAGATACATTATTATATGTTAAAATGATACAAAACTGAAAAACATAACAATGGTTTAAAAAAATCTACGATTACTACCACTATTAACAGTATTACAATTACTTACCGCCTAAACACACCCAGCAGAATTCGTAGTGACAAATTGAGCATTTCTAAATGGTAGAAAAAGGTTAAACATTATAAAATTATTTCTGAAGAAAATACTCCTATAGTTAATGAATATGGACAGTTTTACATATATTTTAATCTCAAACCTTAATCCTTAATGATAAACTCTAGTGGTTAAAAACCTATAGGCAACCTAGAAAAGTTCATCAATTACGCAAAAGTGAAATATATTTGGCAAATTTTACATTGTATAAAATCTAAATAATCATATGTTCAACTTTTTGCTTTCTAATTATTTGGGCGGGAAAAATTTTTTAAGATCATTTGAAGATGTATTCAAGTTCGTAGGTAGTCTTTAAAATAATTTGAAATTTTATAGCTTCGTTTTGTTCTTTTATAGTTCATTGACATGAAATGAAGTCCTGAAATGCTATAGAAGTGTGGTATACTAATTAATCAAGTCTAAACAACGACTCATATTACAGTAAACTACTATGAACACAAATAAAGTTACATATGAATTTTAATTTCTGAAAGCATCGATAATTCAGTATGATTTATATATACACGAAGTGTTACATATGAAAATGTAGCTCAAGCACACATGTACAAAAGGGTAAATAATCGGACAAATTAACAAAATATTGAGGGAAAATTCATGTTCAACTTATTTGAATTCGAAGTGAAAAGAATACAATAAGTATATCACTGAAAAACCTATAAACAGACCACAGCACAACTTTGAGAATGTACATTAGCTTAAACGTAAAAACTGGAATATTTTAGTTAATTACGCTGACAATGTGAGTGTTTGAATATAAAACTTTTTTTTTAATATTAAACAGTATACTGAGGTACTGACTAAGCAATTTTACTGATAACGTATGAACGCGTGATCGCTATGTAAATAAGAATAGTAGGTAAACCGTCAGACAAATGACTAGAGATCTTATAATTAAGTTATAATTAAGCTAATAAAAATAAGGAATAACTCAACAATTTGAGGATCTTCTTTCCTAGTAATGAAGTATAAGCCACAACCATTATCTGAGGACCGACTGTATTAGTTCATCATTCACATCTTGACGGGCGCAAAAAAGGTTCAAGTCTGTAACTTATAGGTATAGTGAAGCAGATGAACTAAGGAGCCACACCTTAACAGAATACATTTCCAAATCCGCTTCGTAGTATTCTACTTAAAATATACATCCCAAAATTAATTCAACGATCGAATCCGATTTGTAACAATGTGAACTCTAAAAGTCAAAATACTAATTACATAGAGGATACATAGATTTCAAGCAACTATGTATATATATGGGCAGATAAGGTAGAATAATTATGCCAACGAAAATAATTACAATAGGCCTGTAATAACAGTTACGAAGAAATGTATTTGGATACACGGTCATGAAATATTTGGTCGAATTGGAATGATACACTCTACTGTTTAGAAAAAACCAGGTTTCATAAAAGTGTGATAATAATTCCCAAAGTATATACACTAACAACACATTATTACAAGCTCCTAACCTAATACATTGTTAAATTTATTAATAATAATGTATGAAAGTGCCCGAAATTAAACCATATATATTACAATAATGTTTAAACTATCTAACATTTGTTCTTCCTTCCAATTTCCAAATAAAAAACATTTTACTTTTTTAAATGACTCTGTTTACAAACAACTGATAAGCCTTTGTCGTGAGTTTGAGCATGCCAAATATACGTTTCAAAATATTATTTGGTTTAAGGAATCAATCCTGTGATATATAATCTCCTACTTATATTCACTTCTGATTTTTATCAACCTTATAACTAATCACGGAATTTTTTCTAAATTTTGATTATCAAACTGTGTTGTTTAACCTCTTTTTTTTATTTTCGCATAAATAAAATTATCAACTGATGTATGATCACATTTTATAAAAAATCAAACTTTTTACTACCTTTTACTGTTGTTTTAGATAAACGAAGTGGTTTGAACTTGATAAGTTTTCAAATTGAATGTTAGATTCGGTTTCTAAGCTCTTCTAGTAACTACCAGGCTAAATCTACACAGTGACTTGAGCATAAGCGAAAAGGCGCGAAATATGGAAGAAATGATTTACTCCAAAGGTTCTTTTATGTACAGAAAATCTAAGGTTTTTAAAGTATTTTAGATGACCTTGGGTTTCCGGAAAATTCTAGAACGCTACTAAACATAATAGCAGTATAGGTAATCATCCAACCAGAAACCCGTGTGACTTTTAACTTTCTAGATGTTTCTGGAAAAACTTCTGGTGAGTGCTGATTGGATAGGACGCTTAGCGTTTTCAGAGCCTTTTTTGGCTTTTTTCGAGTGTTATTCTGGATCCCCCAAACAGAACTTTAATTGTGTCATGAAATAATAAAAGAGTAATATAAATTCACCTACCATATGATTGCAACCTTCATTTTTCTCGATACACACATGACATGATGGACAATCTTTTGTATGAGCTGTCATATAATTTGCTGTTCCTGAATCATCTCGACACTTAACAAGCCAGTGCTTTAGAGTTGCACAACTAGTTGGAGCATGATACGCTTCCGAGCACATAAAACAGAACTCTGCATGGCACCGCTCGCACTGAACACGCCGTGCTTTTGGTTCTTCAAGCGCACAAATCAAAACAGGACAACTCAAACCGACACAAAAACGTAATGACGGATGACTCTAAAATCATTGAGAAAAACGAAACGTTAAGTCATTCAACCTGAAAATTAGAAATCTAAATAAAATGAATAAGCATTGGTTTGTAGTACTGCAAGCTCGATGACTTGAATTTATAACTACAACGAAAAGCTAAACGTGCTATGCAGTTTGTAGTTATGATAACCAGAAAATCCGGATTGTAGCTGTTACCTTGGCGTAATGTTCAGACTAACCTACAGCACTGACCCAGTCAAGCTACATTGACTAGAACATCTATTTCTTTAGGTCCTACCACATCAAGTAGTTTAGTGGAGGAGACGGTAACCCAAGTTCCGAGGGCGAAGTCGTACTGCGGACTATATAGAAGTATGAAGGCAGTAAGGAAGTCCCTACAGATAACCAGCATCTCCATCTGCTGCCTCCTTGCAATGGAAGGGTTGGAAAAGATTGACCCTAAATACGTCATACTTCATTTAATCCAACGAATTTTTTATCTCCGATAGTAAAGCCTTTTTCAATGACGGAGCTAATATAACCAAAAATCTACAAAAAGTTCGCCCTCGATCGGTCTTAAGCAGTTGTACCTTGGGCTCTGTTACGCTCCTAGATCACTAAGACCACCACTAATTCAGTTTCATTTTCACGTCCTGAAAATATAAACCATCCTTCCATGGTGAAGTCAACAGGGAAGTGACAACCGCCCTAATAGTTTTAACCGCACTCGAGATCACCTTGTTCACGAAAAAATCACTTCATTATTTCTCAGTACTTCTCCTATTCCCGTTATTAACCCTTCCCCTATTACTTTACCGCCATGTACCACCAGTGTTAAGGAGATGAGTTCAAGAGATGTTATTCCTCGTCTCCTGAAACTGCACTACAAATTATATTTTAGAGTGTCCAACGTTCAAGCCTTGTGTCAGATAGACCAATAGGCTTCCTTGGTTAGTGCTCCATAATCTCGTCCTATCGATATGTTATCTCCAAAAGATGCACACATGATCCAAGTACGATTATTCACTTGAATTCACCTAATTAATACATAGAACCAGCCAAATCTATACACCATATTTCTGAGGATTTGACTTCCATTTCTTGTCGCATCGCAGGCGTAAGCATAGCAGTAGGTCTAAAAGTAGAACAGGCTCTCCTGGAGTATTAATAGCAGGTTACCCACCATTCTAAAACAATCGGGATGAGATTGAAATAAACTCTTCTTTCCTTAATGAAGTTGAAAAGTTTATAGCTAATCTAACACTAAGGACAGCAGAAAGTCCTGAAGAATTAACCTCGAAGTACTTTAAGTATGGTGATCCAGTTTTTGCAGTTAGATTACCTGAAATCTTAGCTAAAACCTGGAAACTGGACGTAATCCTATCTGATTAGTTTCCATCACTGGTTGTCCCGATATTTAAGAAAGGAGAAATAACCCTTTGTGGTAACCGTAGAGGAATCAGTTTAACTAATATAGTACACAAAATATTTGCTTCAATAATCATCGGACACTAAAGTAAGGCTTGTGTAGAGTAAACTCAAGAAAACCAGGCTGGTTTCAGATCTGAATGTGGATGTATCGTCCGAATCTTCACTCTTCATTAGGTCTCAGAACACAGATATACTTTTCCAAATTCGACCTTATGGCAGAGTTTGACTGTTGATCGAGTCAGCCAGTCACAACGTAGAACCTGTACGTATGTATATCGGTCCAAGTTGCCATATCCCATTAGCACGAAATGAAGTTATCAGACCAAATCCCAAAATAGCAGGAGTAGCAGCAATATGTGGTAAGAAGAAATATTAAGCATCGGCGATGCAACTCAAAAAGAAAATATAAACTAGCGAAATAAAAAAAGTTGTGAGGAATTTAGAATCTCATGATCTGCGGAAAGGTAAGGAGTGGATGCACCTGCGCCATTGCAACTGATTTCGAGCTATGCCACTCAAAGTCTCAACCCATTGGTTACAACAAATACGCGGACCCCGACCTAGTGGTCCGTACCTATTAATATGGCTAAGTCTATGTCTGTCAACATAAGTAGCACACACCATAACACATTTCCCAACCACATCAGTTGATGATGATTTACTACCTATCTCATCAATCGTCTAACCATCCTTACCTATTACCCTATTCCTAACCCAGACACTTCTTACTCCGTGATCCCAAAATGTATGAACAATGCCTTGAAGACACCTATTATCGAATACCAGAAACATACAAATATCCCCTACTCTTAATGGCCATGTTTCACATCCATAAAGGAGGATGGAGCGAACGGCTGCGCGGTAAACTCCCCCTATGGTTGGAAGACAGATATCTCCTGTATGCCACAAGTGACGCAAGTTGGCAAAAGCCAATAGAGCTTTCTGAATCCGCGCTGAGATTCCGTCAGACACCAAACTATTGGCATTGATGAGACTCTCAAAATAAGTGAGGCGTCAGATGCTTTCAATTACTTCACTCCCTATCACTAATTCAGGCGATGACGCAAGCCAATCCTGAAGTAACATTTTACATTTGAAACAGCCGTTTTATTGCTGGAGGCGATCAGAAGATTGCATTCTGTCAGCGTCTTCACCAAAGAGAAATACATCATCCGCGTATTCGAAATCAACAAGTGAACCTCCTGGTAGACGAACAATCCCTGAAAAGTCAGACGACGGAAGTGTCATCTCCAAAAGCATGTCTATGACAAGGTTAAATAAAAATGGAGGAAGTGGACAACCATGACAAACAGTACTTAAAGTAACCAATTGCGATGGCAGTTCTCCATAAGCTCTGGCCGGACAGGAATTGTTCGAGTAGAGAGCCTGTACAATGTTAATGTACTTCATTGCTACACCTTTCAATGACAAAAACTGCCACAATCTCCTGCAGGCTTTACCGCTAGAGACAAGAATCCGCCGGGTAAGGTGAGGTGTGACATTTTCAGGGCAAATTTTTTCGAACCCCTTCCTTCTGTTGTGAGAAGGGAGAATCGATGCAGGTGATGGTTGTTCGAGGAAGACACCTTACTGCCGCCACACATCTGTACAGCCAGTAGTACATCGTCCTCGAGCCTTCGGATGGTGCTTTTAGTTTCACCGTTCTTCAACCGACCTGCCTAACATGGTAGGGCCCAAATGAAAATGTGTTTTAGCCAATATAGTTCGGTTAAGCCATCATGATAGGCAAGCCTGACCACCATATCAAGGTAGCAGGTACGATCGCGTGTTGATCGAGAGGTTCTGTAGTAGCGCCTATCGCTAAAAAGGATACCAAATTACATCAAATTTGTACAGGCCATAATCAGTCACTACTGGCCGAGTTGAACCTTGCAATGAACTCTCATCAGAATAGTCAACCCTGAGTGTTCGTCAGGGTAGTCCGCTCTCCATTCTTATTCAACCTCATCATGGACATTGTCTCAGGGAATCGTTCTACCAAAAAACTGACTAGCCAACTTGGAATACGCAAACGACAGTTATACTGTGTGAAGACGCTGACAAAATACAAAATCTGATCGTATTGAGCAACAACGTATGTTAATGTTGGGGAGATCCAGAATATTCCTCGAAAAAAGTTCAGAGAGGCTCTGAAAACGCTGGGAAATATTTTATCTAACCAGCGTCGAGTAAGTTTCTCAGAAACACATGGAAAAAAGAGTTACGTGTCATATTTTTGATTGGATGATTACCTACCCTGTTACTATGTTTAGTATGGTTCCAGAACCTTCCAGAAGTCTAAGGCCGTCTGAAATGATATAAATACCCTCGATTTTTCGTAAATAAATGAAAATTGAAGTAAAGCGTTCTTTCCACATATCGCGCCTCTTTTGTCCTGTTCAACAGTCAGTCAGTTAGCTAGCTACAACGTAGGACCAGGCACATATATGCATCGGTTCAGGTTGCCATACCTCATTGGCACAGCAAGATGAACACCGGACTTATAAAAGTAGTTAATTCAATGCTGGTAATATATAAAAGAAAGATTGCATATCACGACATAGTACAGGAGGAAAGAATTAGTTCGTAGAAAGAAAGATATGAAACAATTTTAATCTCTTAGTTTAAGAGAAGACAGAGTGTATACACCTACGCCATTGTGATCGATTCTGAGCCATGTCACCAAGAGTCTCCAACCATTGGTCACGATAGTCACGTGGACCCCGACCAAGTAGTCTGCATCTACCGACATGGCTCAGACCACTGATGCCACGTTTTGGTTTGGCCGGTCGTGTAGATTTAGCCTGGGGGTAAGAAAAGCTTGAGAAACCTATTGAAGCATTTAAACAGAAGATTTATCAGTTTGGGATCGGTTTGCCCTCCTAAATATTGCCTGAAGACTGGTCTGTATCAACGCCTGAACTAATAATAGGGAATGAAATAGCTGAAAACACCAACCACTTTACTTGCTTCAAAAGTCTCACCAACCCTGATATGTTGGTGTCTGATGAAATCTTGACAGATTCAGAAGACTCGGTTACCTTTTACCGATTTGAGTCAAAGGTAACGTAGACCAGATGTCCATCTGTTAACCAAAGGTCAGTCAGTCAGCAACAACATAGAACTTCGTACGTACGTACATCAGTTCGAGTTGCCATACTGTGGTGTGTGCTACTTATATTGACATAAGTAGTATATGATGCTAGTCGTGAACAGAAGGTCTGACAGCAGAGAGACAAGAGGATCGAACAGTAAAGAATGGAAACAGGATTCAATTTGTATGAAAATGCAAGAACAATGAAGTCTGAGTCATTTTGAGACAATTGGTGGACATTTTGCAAATTAAGCATTTACTTTATGATTGTTAGATTTTATTAACAAGTCCTGTAATTTTGTGTTAAATACATTCGATTGTCCCCACTGGTGTTCTTGTTCACTACAATATCACATTAGCACAGAGATGCAATTGTCGATCCAAGTCCCATTGTGGTAGAGGTAGTAAAAGTATGAGCATTAATCGGAAGCATTAGGGTCTAAATGTTATTCAAGGAGTATAATCCAATGAAATAAATTTGGAAAGAGAAAAAAGGGACATGAAGAATTCAGAAGATTAGGATTTGGGAGAACACAAAGATTGGATGCACCTTCACCATTGCAAACGATTTTGAGCCATGTCATTCAAGGTCTCTAACCATCGGTTGCTGTCATCTCGTGGATACCAACCAGGTAGTCTACACCTACCAACATGGCTCAGTCCAATTGTCAATGACTTCATGGATTTTTGCCATAAATATAAATATATATATATAACCAGGCGATATAACAGGAAACTAGAAAATAAAGGACCTGAATAAAATAACGCAGAATCCTGAGAATATGCTTACTGACCTTTAAACACCAAAGAAGCAGAAAGGTCAAGAGAACCAGGAAAACGTATACAAACGAAAAGACACATATAAATGAAAGAGGCCACTAAAGCAACTGACATAACGAAGGTCTGACAATGTTGTTTAGGACAATAAGGAAAACTCTGCAATTAAACCAACCAGATCATCGAACTCAATAACACCACAGACCGATAAATAATTAAAGCAATGAGATGTCTGAATTGTGCAGCAAAATGAAGAATGACAGCATCACAGATGATAAGACTTGTTTTTAGTCATGTTACTCAACCCGACCGTTGCTGCTACCCTGAAGTGGTGATCGGGCTTGCCTATCGTGATGAACTAATCGGGCTACACTGGTCAGGACAATCATTTCTCAAGGTCCTATCATGTCAGGCAGATCGGTTGAAGAGTGGTAAAACTAAAAGCAGTAAACCCAAGATCCGAGAGCGAAGTCGTACTGCTGACTGTACAAAGGTGTGACGGCAGTAAGGTGTTTCCTTCGGAAAATCAGAATAACAACGATGCTACCTTCCCACAAAGGAAGAGTGGGGTTAGAAAAGGTCGACCCTAAAAATGCACATCCTGCCTTATCCAACGGATATCCATCTCCGGTGGTGAGGTCTCAACAAGTAGGCAGTTAACACAGAAATTACCCACCAAAAGGTCGTGTGTGACCGACCGTAAGCAGTTGTCTATTTAGGTCACGCTCACAGGTCACTAAGATCAACTCTAACCCAATTTCTTTCCCAGGTATCAATGTTGACAGTTAAGAATAATAGAATAAAATGCCTTACCTCAACCATACGTTGAAACAGTAGATTCAAATATTTGTCTTTTACAGTCGGATTTTTCAACAGTGTTAAAAGGAAATCTTCGATCACTAAAACATTACATCCAACCGACATACATTTAATTTCAATACTAGAACCTTCTTCTATTTTAATTGTTAAATATGAACGCCAGCAATCTGGACAAAATCTATGTCCACAAGAGAGACCGTAGAGACCATTCATTTTATTACTGGTCAGGAAGTCACAACTTTTATCATGAGGGTTATCTGACCAAACATCTAAGACAGTGTTGTAGATATTATTATTATTAGTAGTAGTTGTTGTTGTTGTTGTTGCTGTCGTTGTGGAAGAAGAGGAAGAAGAAGAATGGGAAGAGGAGAAATGAGTTACGCCGGAGGGGAAAGACGAAGTGCAATTTTTTGAATTCCCTTGTTTCAAAGGAGTTGGACTATGAAGCAGTTGTAAATCTGATTCATTGAATATATTAACTGGATTGTCCGTCTTATTTGATGGAACTGTATAACATATTTCACAACAGGAGTCTAGAGGATTATAACGTATAAAGAATAAAACTGTATAAATAACCAATAACGGTAATAGAAAACCAATGAAGTACTTTGATGAACCAAAACTTAACCAAATATATTTCCAACATTAGTTGAATATCAGGCAACAATTAGCAACCTTGAGCACACTAATACACCATATTAATCAAGATTTGAAATGTAGTAATCAACCTGAAAGACTGTAGTTTGGATTCTAGTATATCAGCTCAAAGTTGCAAATGTAGGCTTAGTGCTTCACATGAATCGTAAGTAAAACGTATGTATGACCTCAAGAAAACTCATGCTACGATTGAAACCTAAACTTTTTACCTTTATGGTTAAAGAAAGCGAGTTTACCTCTTGTCCAAAAAACCTATTCATCTGGTAGAGGAGAAGCATATGCAGTACTTATAACAATAATCATAATTACAGCATTACAGATACATATATTAAGTTTTGAGCAACACTTCCCATGAGAGATTTTATTGAGAGTCTCGGATCCAAGTAACTCTAACAAGATTCAAACCTAAGGCTCAACGATTAAAAAATCACTTAGTGATTCCTACATACTGGCCTCTAATACTTAATAGTCACATTTTCAGATAAAGTGGCCATCTTGGTCATTTTAGACTGTTAGGTACATTATAAGGTATATTAAAAGACAGTGCGTTAGTATTAACTGCCTCATAAAAGTAGGTTACAACCACACATGGCCCTCGTCCGGAAATGGGAGAATTTAATTTAAATTCTTCCGGACAAGCCGATTTTTACAAACATTTCCACCAACACCGGAATTTTGTACAGTACGAATGTTGTATCTACGGTCATGCCTTCCACATCCGCCTTTTTAGGCAGCTTAATGGCAGTAATTTGTTAATGGTAACTGTCAATTTTCAATAAATTTGAGTCTAGTTTTCAAGAATACGTTTCGTTCATTATTTCAACTCAATTTGACTCGATAAAAGTATAACACTCTCCTTGTACCAATCCTTAGAGTGAACGATAGAGTGATAAAACAACAATTTATCATAATTATGCAAACGAAGTAAGGTTTCAGTTCAGCAAAAACACTCGTTTGAACACTAACATTGAGACAGAAGGGCAGAGAGCTAGACTTCAGTTAAAAAGTTTTGGAACATACCTTTAAGGAAGAGGCATGATGGATAGAAACACTTAATAGTGAGGTCAAACATAGCCTTCATCTTAACAATTATATTTAGCAAGCGAAAAAATTCCTGGACAACAATAAAAAAGTCAGTCATAAATTAAGTACAAAAATATAAATAACCTGGAGTGATTTTCGGAGGAAGTATGTATGAGACTACTTGAAAATTGAAATTTTGAATCGCGTGAATAGTAGCCATTACTGCTTGACTATCACTGGAGCTGGATTGTATATTAAGACTTGGGAGTATATTGTGACTAATTAACGTGAGTAAAGGATGGGTCAAGAACTTTTTCTTGATTGCCTCCACGTCCCATCTATTATTATGTAACAGCAAACGAGCTATGGCTGGTGGCACCTGAAATCATTCAACAAGATTTATGTTTGGTTTTACTTTTTTATAATACAAAGGAAGTGGTATAATGGGGTACTGAAGAATGCGCTACATGGAAATAAGTAAGTGTTGTACAGAAGAATAATAATGATAATAAGAATGAGTATAAAAAATAGGCTTAGAATAAGAGCACTGGCACAATATATATTCCTGATAAGTATATTTACTACTTACTCACTTAACAGAATAAAACTGTAAAATGATTACCTCTGGTTCCTATTTCGAAGCATACATTTCAAGTTACATATAGCCCAGTAAAAGGTGTGCTGACAGACAATAACACAAGGGTTATTCTTTAGTGAAGAAGAACATCGAACGGACAAGTGATTCAACTCATAAAAATTAAGTATTTACATTCAGACAAGTGAACTTGCAGGTATATAGTACAATTCATCAAAAGAAATTGTACAACTACGCTTTTAAGCCAGAATTCACAGACAGTAACAAAGATGTCTGTAGCTGGCATAAACCTTTCTATGTAAGAAAATTAAATTCCTCAAAAGAAGCTCCGATTACTGTGTATTACGAAGCAAAAGCAATCAAGCTCTTTGAGTGACTAGATGTCAAGAATGAGCCGTCTGTTTCTGCGATTTTTTAAAAGTGCTTTACAATTAAACACTAAAGGAAAACGATAGTAAAAATCAGTCTGCGAATTATGTAACCTGAATGGTGCCAGGCTATAACGAAACACTGATCTTAAACTTCAAGTAGAAAAACCTTTTTCCAGGTAATGTACTACTGGATACATTTTTCAGAACCGTACTAGAAGTCTCACTACGACGTTGTACGTCTTTCCTGAGTTATTTTTGAGTAAGTCACTTATTTCCATCAGAGCAAACCACTTCAGAAAAACATGAACTCAAAAATTCTGAAACTGCGCAATATATGCGTTTACGCATTTAATTACATAAAATATTAAATTAGTAAATGATCACGTCAGAACTATTAATTTCTTAAAAGTCAACTCTGTTTAGACTTTAAAATTCTAATGGTATCTCAAGACCCGATGCTGATGAGGTACAAGACACTGAATAACGTCTATCTTCACACATTATTATTTGGACTCTTATTGAGACGACATGGACTGACTAGGAGAAAGGAACGGAAATGATGATAGATTTGCAAACTTATGTGCATTCGACAAAATGGTTATAGATAGCACAATATCCCCACACAAACGCATACACAAAGCTACATAGATCACACCGGATCACATTACGGAGAACCAGACAGACTGTATTTGTATCAATAAAAAATTCCGAAGGACAATGGATGTGAGAACCAGGAGAGGCGCTGAAATGGCTTCAGATCACCACTTATTTGTAGCCAAGAGAAGCAAAAGAAACAGTGGACAACTGGGGAAACAGCATTACAAAGGTTCAATGCAGCCTTCCTTCGAGATACTGACAAACTCAACTGATTTAAGATAGCTCTCAACAAGAGGTTCCAAGCCTTACAGGATATACTGAAACTACTATGGAGGACAACTGAAAAGGGATCAAAAAAGCGTTAACTCCAAAGTGTCAGCCGGTTCTGGGCAACAAGAAGCATCATCATGAGGAGTGGATCTCTAGGGAAACCTTGGACAAGATTCAAGAAAGGAAGAACAAGAAGACAGCAATTAACACCAAGTGAGCAAGAACAGAGAACGTCAAAGCACAAGCTGAGTACACAGAAGCAAACAAGCAAGTGAAGAAGAGCATTAGAGCCGACAAGCAGAAATACGTGGAAGAACTAGCAACGACGGCAGAAAAAAGCTCCAAGGGAAGGAAATATGAAACAACTATATGATACAACGAAGAAACTAGCAGGGAAATGTGGAATCCCTCACGTACCTGGGAAGCATCATCGATGAACAAGGAGGATCCGATGCAGACGTAAAGGCGGGGATCGGCAAACCAAGAGCCGCATTCCTACAATTGAAGAACATATGGGACTGGGAACAACTATCAACCAATACCAAACTCACAATCTTCAATACAAGTGTCAAGACAGTTCTACTGGACAGAGCTGAAACTTGGAGAACTACCACAACCATCATCAAATAGGTAGAAGTATTTATAAACAATTGTCTATGTAAGATACTGAATGTCCGTTGGTCGGATACCATCAGGAATAGTCTACTGTGGGGGAGAACAAAGCGGCTTCTGACTGAAGAGGAGATATGGAAAAGACGTTGGAAGTGGATAGGACACACATTGAAGAAATCATTAACCTGCATCACGAGGCAAGCGCTAACTTTTAATCCTGAAAGGAAACGGAAAATAGGAAAGCCGAAGAACACATTGTGCCGAGAATTGAAAGCAGACATGAATAGTATGAATATCAACTAGAAACAATTAGAAGAGATTACCCAGGACAGATTTGGATGGAGAATGCTGGTGAGCGGTCTATGCTTCTCTATGACAAGTAACAGGTGTAAGTCTTATTAACGATGGTCGAGGTGGTCTAACAATGAACATTTCGTGACATTCCGATTAGTTTAATTAAACTTGATAAGCTATCAAACACTAAATGGACAGACAGTAAACCATCTAAATTGGATTTTTTATTTCAGATTTCTGTTTTGTCAAGAGTTTGGATAATCCGATCGTGAGGACGAAAGAACAGTCGACTTTAGTACTGAAGTATGTTACAGTGCTGTCATCCACCTTGTATCCTGTTACACATCCAAAACTACCGACCCCTATTCCAAAGCAACTTATAAAACTAATTGAGGCAATCATAACGTTTTATTCCGTTTGTGTATAAAGTTACAGTCATAGGACCATGAATAATTTCATAATTCTAACTGTGAGACTGGTGAGGTTAAAATATTGTTGATACAAAACAGGTCCATGTAACTGAAAAATCGACATTTTCGATTGACACAACGTAAGCCTATAATAAACATGACAGTCGAAAGCAACCATATTACTATGGATTAATAAAGTTATTAAGGCAAACAGATCGACTTATGACAAGACTCAGTAAAATAAATCGTGTGCCAGATTACTGTGGTATGCTATTCACTGATGAAAGCTACGAAATTTGAAATAGACCGCGTAACTAGGATACCCAGAGGAAGTTCTATTGTCTTCTAAGGATTTTACAATGACGAGCTGTTGTATAACAGAAGCATAACATTACTCTGGAATTATACCATCTGTAAAATTAAAATTCTGTAAATTATGTTATTAATGATTTCCAAAGACCATTCAACACTACTGGATCATATTTTTGACAACCTTTCTATGTTTGAGCAACGCGCAAAACGAAACATACGTTGATTAAGTTACACAGGGTATCAACTGTGCTGTTCAGGAAAATTTCAACTTCATTCCTTTCAAAGGCTTTGTACAGAAAAGACTCAGGATGAAGTCTGTCGGAACAAAACCTGAATGTAATAACATAAACAATGAAATTTACCCATACCTGTCACCCTCCACATCATATTCCGGCTCCATATAATTGTAATCGTCTGATTCATCTGAATCATATGACTGGTCATTGTTTTCCTCCTCCATTCTAAAGACGGAGCATTAAACAGTGAGGACTACCATTCCGACCTAGATTTTAGAAAGAACCGCTTCTTCTACAACAACCTTCGAACACTAACTTTCAGACGTCAAACTTATATGGACAGAAATAGACAATCTATTGCTTTTTAAGATGTGTTTGGGTTAAAGAAAGTAGTCCTTGGTAACAGTTGAATATAACTCGTGTTTAATTTCTTTACTGCCTAAAGCGTGAAGACAGTTATTATTGTGAGGAGTAATCGAGTAGTATTCCTTGATCGGTATTCAACTAAAGAAAACGACAAGAATTTGTGTAAATCCGGCGAATGGCAGCACTAACGTAACTTGTAGGAAGTTCCACAACCCATAGATATTAATCACGATTAGATTTACACAAATTCATATATGTGCTCTTTCGTGTTCAAAGCTTAGGCTTACTTTTAAGTAAGCTTTTAAGACAAAGAGGATTGTGAATAATATAAAACATCATGACGGTAATCTCGATATCTTTCTGTACTGAGTATGGTACAAGTTTAACACACTTAAAGTTGTTAACAGTTAGTAAGTTTCTGATGGTCCGATCATTTGTTCCACTCATGTCTTCTAGAAGATGTAAGAAATATTAGAGGCTTCGTATCGTATTCTAAATTTGAATATCGTTTGAACATAGAAGAGTCTGGAAACTCATGATGCTAAGCAATGCTAAAAAATTAAAAAGATCAACTGAGATTATGAATCAACCAGCATATGACCATCATTGAAAACCTGGAAACACTGAACGTTCATTTCGTTCTACCATGAGATTCTTCTGAAGTGAACACCCATGACTATAAAAGCCGGACTCCAACTCTAAACTTATAATAAAAAAGGAAGTGGCTCAAACAAAACATAAAGCAGTACTTTGGTCTTGACTGTTAGCCAGAAAGATGAACCAGGGGTACCTCTGGTATTTTTTAATCTTCTAATTAATTAGTTCCATAGCCACTTCATTAACCACACACTGATACCTACCGATGTTATTTTAAGACAAAGAATTCTATAAAAAACTTTCAAACGGGTTGAAAAAATCCTGACAGCCTGAATTAACAGTATGATTGTTCGCCACCAAGGGTTTTCGGCTATGAAAGTAGTCAGTAAGTTCGCCCTATAAGTTCTACTTGTAGGACAATCATGTTCATAGTCGGAAAGAACACGTTCATTTGGAGGATGGTCTCGTAACATTTTATACAGGACCTTCGTTACTGAGAGTGTAAGCAGAAGCTACCGCCCAGTTGCTCCGTAAGAATACGAGCAAAACCATATCTCTCTTGTAGTCAGAATATAGTTTACTCCCAACTTGACACTTAAAGAACAGAAGGGGGGTAAGAAGGATGTATGAAAATAAGTGGAAAGCAAATTATGCATTTACAGTCAATTCTTTTCACAATAAAAACGAATTTGTCACATTATACAACGACGCACCAGTAAAACTGATAATCACTTGCTGAAAACGCAAAGTACGATCAGTATTAACCTTCAAACATCTTTCGACCCTAGCATTTTTATTGCGGCCACCCAACATTAAATAACCATCCTGTAATTCAAAGGCCCAATACTCTAAATCCACTAATCCGATCCATCCTAACTCTGAGATTGGTATGCCCAATCGTCTCGGATTGACGGTGGTGAGCCTCAGGGAAGTAAGTAAATCGGTGCATCAAGTGACACGGTGTCACGGCTATCCAACTGACGCTTCGGAGAATCTATAAAGTTTGCAGAACTATGGGTTTCAGAAAGAACATGCTTATGAGGACCAGAAAACTATGGAAACAGTTAGAGTGCCCCATAGCTTGTTCGATAGTCATTTCCAGAACGTTTGACCTTTTAAAATTCGGAGACCCTAGTTACAGACTTGCTAAGAAACATATACGCATGAGTTGGAGCATTTGAAAGGAAGGTTACGGGGGAATAAGACTTATATACTGCAAGTACATTTTGAGAACGGTTTGGTAGTACTTGTATGTGATATATTACTTTGTCAGTTTTCTACTGCATTCGAGGTGTAGCGAGAAAAGTTTCATGTCTCGGCCAATCGTCGAAATCCACTAACTGTGCATTATACGAGATTGAGTAGACCTGAACAAACCACTCCATAGTTGGGGCATATCCACGAATTTGTGGTGGAATAGCACGAACAAATAAATTTGTACAACAATTCCAGCTACCCTTTCTTACTAATCATATTAGTAAGTTTTAGCAACAATGCGTTCTCCAAAATCTCTCAAGGAACGATGTGACGTTTTTTATTTATTCAAGTACTAAGGGTTATTACTCTAGGTTGTACTTCAGGGTAATCCCGACTAAATAAGTAATCGAAAGCCCCCAGACACATCACTTCTCATGATGTTAAGCATCAGTTCACCGATAGTGGATGGCCAAACAAGTTTATTTACTGATGACCCTAAGGTGTTACATGTATCCCACCTTATCCCCAGTCTCAACATTTTACTTACTTACTTGCTTACGCCTGTTACTCACAATGGAGCATGGGCCGCCGACCAGCATTCTCCAGCCCACTCTGTCCTGGGTGTTCCTTCCTAGTTCTATCTGCTTGTTTTTCATTCTTCTGTCTGTTCTTTGTTCTTCACCTTCACCTTCGGCCTTGGGATTCTATGTGAGGGCTTGTCTTGTGACGCTTTTGGGTGCTTTCCTCAATGTGTGTCCATTGTAGAATTATGGTCTACAACAAGGAAGTCACATCATTGTCTACACTGACTCATAGTACCGTAACAATTACCAATATATGATGGAGAACACATTCAGGTTGGAGACAGAACAATATATTTAATATGAGTAAAAGTTGTGTAGAGAGATCACGCCTGCGAGGCTGACTCATGCCATCCGATCAATTCGAATTAATTCAATTAATTGTTCCCGCCTTATCCATTGTCAGATTTTTCTCCGAGTTAAATGTTGAATATCTATTTCCCCAATTGTCTTGTGTTCAGCTTTGAGGATTGTGCAGTTAGGGCCCAATGCCACTACACGATCCACTTCCAGGGCTTCTTCCTAATTTCTTCCTCCGTTAGGATATGCTTTGTTCTCTCCCACAGTTGGCTGTTGCTGATAATGTCTGACCAATGGACTCAAAGTATTTTGTGTAGACAACTTTTAGTAAACACTTGTACCTTCTGGATGATGGCTTTCATAGTTCGCCGAAATTCCACCTCATACAGTGGAACTGTCTTGACATTTGTATTGAAAATTCTGACCTTGGTGTTGGTTGACAATTGTTTTGAGTTCCAGATGTTCTTCAGTTGTAAATATGCTTCTCATGCATTGCCGATCCGCGCCTTCACATCTGCATCAGATCCACAGTGTTCGTCAATGATGCTGCCCAGATATGTAAGTGTTTTTATACCCTTCAAAGGTTCCCCGTTAAGTGTGATTTGATTGGTGAGTGTTGTGTTGTCTCAGAGAATCTTGCTTTTCCGTTTGTGTATGTTGGAACCTACTGATGCTACACTGGTCTTCTTCTGCATTTGTTGTTGGGTATGCGATGGAAGAGCCGAATCATCTGTGAGGTCACCTGCTGATCTCTTCAATTGCTGGCAGGCCAACATCGATTGGAAGGTTCGTGGATGCTACTTCGATATTGGTGGGTTCCGTGGAACTGGTCAATTCAAGGGTCCCTAGAAGTGCTCTGCCCACTTGTTTCACTGTTCTTTGATGTTGGTGATTAATTTGCCCTCCTTGATCTTCACTGGTCATTCTGGTTTACGGTAATTTCCACCGAGTTTTTATGTTGTATCATATAACCGTCTCAGGCTTTCTTCTCTTGCAACCTTTTCCGCCGTCATTGCTAAGTCTTCCACATATTTACGTTTGTCGGTTCTGATGCTCCTCTTCACTTGTTTGTTTACTTCTGCATATTCGGCTTGTGCCTTGGCTTTTTCTGCTCTTGTTCGACTGGTATTGACTGCTGCTTTCTTGTTCCTCCTTTCATGAATCTTATCCAGTGTATCAACAGTTATCCATTCTGGTAGAGTTTTGTTCTCTGAGCTGGATGGTTTGGTCGTGGAGCTTTCATCGTTCTTCTGAACGACATCACCAGCACAAACTTCAGATAGAAGTGAAGTGTTCGAATTTCCCCATATGTGTTTCACAGCTTGTTCTGTGCACCTCGATGTTGATTGGTTCTTGTTGACCTTAAATTTATCATTATTTACTTCTTTGTTTTGGTTGTGTCTCCCATTGGTTTGATTTTTGTTCCTATATTTATGCATGATTTTCCTGATTGGTTGATAAATTGGATTGATTTCAATATGTTTGTTGATTGCTGATTGACCTGAGTGCCAAGCTTCTAAAAATTCTCTGGTGTTTTTGGAGTTTCCTCTGTCTAAGATTTCTACATTTTCCCAATCGAATGAATGTCCGTAGTTATCCACGTGTATTGATATAAGTGAAGAGATATCATGGCGTTTGACTGCTAATTGATGTTCATGTAGGCGTAGGTGGAGGGGGCGTCCGCTTTGTCCGATGTAGTGTTTGTCGCAGTTGGTACAATTTATTTTGTAGATGATGTTTGATTTGTTTTCCTTTGTTATTTCATCTTTTGGTTTGCATAGGATTGATTGTAATGATTTTGTTGGTTTGTGTGCCACACCTATCCCGAAGGTTTTCAGCAGTCTCGTTGCGGTTTCTGATATTCCTTGTATGTACGGTAGGGTGATCCTTTTGTTGATTTTTGTGCTTGATTTGGGTTCTGATGCTGTGTGCCGTTGGTGCTTTTTGATGAAGTTGATTGGGTAGCCGTTCTTTTGAAATATGTCCTTCAGGTGTTTCTCTTCATTTTTTCGTGCTGCCAGTGTGCTGCAGTGTGTCCTCGCCCTCTTGAACAATGTGTGTACGCAGTTGATTTTGTGAGCTCTTGGGTTGTTGCTGTTGTAATTGAGGATTTGATCTGTATGGGTCGGTTTCCTATATACTTGCGTCTCCAGTTTTCCTGTATCGGTTCTAGTGATCAATATATCCAAGAATGCTAGTTGGTTGTTTGACTCCTGTTCCATTGTAAACTTGATGTCGTTGAAAACGTTGTTGAT